AGTTTAATAGGTTAATCCTAAAACACTGCACTCATTGTTATTAGCGTTAGTTAGTGCTTAAGACGTCAAATCACGAAACAGATAATTTTAATTTGCACATTACCAAACGTCTTAATTACTAAAATTCCACAATAATTTCTAGTAAAATTCTTAAAATTAACAAAACCGTGCTCCAACGTCTACCGTCTACGAAGTGTAAAATGATTTAAAATCTAAAATTCATTTTGATTCTAATAGATAAAATTTCCGAAAACAATTTTTCCTAAACGATAGTTATTGTCCTAATGTTGCAACATGCATACGCAGTTAATTTTATATAGAGAAATTTGGAAATTTATTGTCGATATTAATTTTCATAAATATATTCACAATTTTCTTATATTTATTATTATTGTCAAGATTCAAAAGCAATTGAGTTGCTATATAACTTATAATTATTGAAATTAAATTGGCAAAATATTAGCAACATTCACCTAATCAGCTCTACTATACGTAGTTTTAATAGTACTAGTACTAGTACTGTAATCCGTATAGTATCTTAGCATTTATTATTTTCGGATATTACATATCGTATAGTTAATCTGATTACAAATAAATAGTTAATTTAGTACCTTAATCATAATAACTTTTATCCTACATTTTGTATTATTAATTTGACCCTTGAAATTACCTCCACAGCGAAGAAGAATACTGCCTTATTGAAGTATATATACGTATAGTAGAACAGGCACCGCGAATAAAATCTATGCAGCAGTGCGTGTGCGGGAAAGAGGCACAGAGTACCTTTTTGTGGCACAGACTAAGTGAGTTTGAGTCGGCAGACTCCGCGTGTTGCAAACAACCATATTATCTCGACGTCTCTTCTAATATAGTGTCACCAACTTTACTGTTTAGTTGACAGAGTAGCTAGTGGAGAGCTTATTACTGCCAGTGCCACTTACTGAGGAAATAGGTGACTACATATACATATTTATTTGCACTTTTTACAAATCCGCACAGCACAGTATAAATAATAGCTTACAGTGAAATGTCACTTTCAAAATGGCGGCCTTAGTTCCAATCGTAGACAGAGAAACCTATAGACTAATGATCGGCGTGGCCTCGAGTGAGAAAGGACGATAACGAATTTTTAGGTTATACAATAATCTTTATACTTTTAAACACATTTAAATAAAAATTTTAATTGTTCTAAGAACTGAACTGAACAAGATTCACCAATTTTAAGCTCACAAAACACTTTTTTTCTCACTTAAACCAACTTGTAAACTCCTTAAATCGCTACGCTATCAAAGTTGTTTAGCAAACTGTAGAGTTTGCTAAACAAAAAAACCGGCACGGAGAAAGGGACAAACAATCACACCGCTCTATCTCATTTCTATGCAAGACGTATGCATAAATCTATCTTTTTCGTGTGCGAATGCGAAAGAAGGCGTCAATTTGTCTATAGGTTTCTCTGTCTACGGTTCCAATTTTGTCCACTTGAACAGATGAGTTGGTGGCACTGTGCATATTACTTCAATGATTGTCCTGTCATTTATCAGTTTATCACATTAAACTTAGGTATTTATTAAAATGCCTTATTTTTAAATAAAACTGATACTATTTGTAATTGTAAAACACATACTGCAAAAATGTTAGGTTTTCAAAATTTAAGAACAATATTCAGATGTAAAAAACTACATATTTTATGGGTTTAACACAAAAGGCTATACTTATTATCATCCACATATGTATACATTTAATTGAAAATACACATCGGTATAAAATTTTAACGTTTTTTGTGCGCGTATTTAAATTTTTAAGTTCGCGATATTTTATTACAAAAAGTGACCTACATTGATCCAATCATACGTTTATTTTATACGTAGCAATAGTTCATAATGAAATTATTGTATATTATATTTATTTAGTCCTCTAAGTACTATATATATGTATATATATATATTACTATAAATGTATATTTTAATAGAAAAACAAAGTTATTGTCAATATTTTCTTTCACACCCTAACGTACATAAGAAACTACGTTTATGGTCAACAATTTTATCTAGGTACATAGAATGTAAGGTAACGTGATGTTTTTTTTTCTAAGAAAAAATGTAAAGTAATTAATTTGTTGTCACAAAACTTGCTTAAGTAGGAAATAAGGATTCGCAAAAAGGCGGCCGTACCTCCTCGATACATAAAAGGTATATTTATAGGATAAAAACTTATTTTTATACCGCGTGTTGTTGTGCGTAAATTAATTTATTGTACTTATGTAAGGCATATTTTCATGTTTTTCTTTCTTTTTAATAATTAGCTGTAGACACTCAAAAAGACAACAGCGTGATGTACAATAAAGATTTTAAAAAATTGCCTATCTATACAATAACTCCCATATCATAAATGAACATGACAATAAAAAAAGAGTAGGTACTTTTTATATTACGAGTATAATTAATTTAGCTCACGTTAAAGGCATAAAGTTTTCAAAGTTATTAGCTAATATTCATGATCTATGAAAAGCAAAGGCTTCAAATATTTAACAACTATTTAATATAGGTACTATTAAATATATTAAAAAAATTAACTTTAAAAATAATGGCATTTAAATTTGATTTTTATATAATTTGCTTGTATATTTTGACATCTTCATATATTAAAATTACGGGTCACATTATCCGCCATGAACTAAACTACTGAAATCATTTTAATGAAATTTTGTGAATGTGTATTTCACAGAAATCTAAATATTACTATTTAGATTTCTGTGGTGTATTTGCTTGTTCCAACTTGAGAGATAGCGATAGTTTTAATCCCGATAAGTGACCCTCAATAATTTTTATTGCGAATTTAAGAATTTTTATGAGACAAAGGGTTGTCGGAAAGAGCAGAACTTCGTCTGCTTGGCCAGCTAGTATTACCACAGACTAAATAATAGTACTACGTAGTATTACGTACATTAGGCACATATACTTGACAGCTTGTTTTGCTGACTCTTCCTAAGTAACCGCCGCCTTTTTCATATCCTTTCTCTATCTATATGCACATTTCATATCGTATAAAAGATCTAAGTTTAAAAAAAGTTTTACAAATTCATTACATTTCTATGTTTAAAGTTATATTATTGTCAATTTTTGATTTTAAATAGAGCGGGTCAACCGTCATTCTTTTTTTTTAGTAGGATCAATCAATAACACATTGCCATTTCATCCTTTTAACAGTATTTATTGATCCTTTGAATTTACCTACTCTTAGAATTACTTAGTACAACAAAAGTAATGCCTAGGTTTAGGATGTAGATACAAATTCTTATTATCATTATTATTGTCAAGCATACGGTAAGGACGAACATATCATAAAACGTAAAACATTTATTACTTAAGGTTATATTAGACAGTCCAGTTATCTTCCATTTTCGGTAAATCATTCCAAATAAAACCAGCCGGCTTTACTCATAAAAACCGCAAATTTAAATAATGCTTAAAGTTTCTCTCTTTCTCTCTTTATTTAATAACAATAGAAAAAGACGAAGAGATAATTTATACTTAAGATATGTAAGCGATAAATAACGATTATAAGTAAGGCGGTGGATAAGGAGTGTAACCAATATTACTCCTCTCTTACGAGTGTCATCTAAATAGATGAAAATTAACGATGAAATAAAACAAAGGATGGACAACTCATTGGTTAAAATCAACACGAACGTTCGTTCATTCGAAGTTATTCCCACAAAATGAACCATCTAATATTACCTTTACTCCAACATTATCATTAAAGTTTCATTGTCAGCAATTTTCCTCATTTTTTTTAACTATTATCAAGAATATTTTATTAATAAACTTTAATAAGCAATAAATTTTACTTTTAATATACACAATGAATGTATAAAATATTGCGTACATTAAATTTTGACATCAATTTCGAAGGGACGATGTGATACGGTCTTTATCAATAATTACTGTTTTATATTCATTATGTAAATTATTATAACACTATATCTATAAAACATATGAGTACTTTATTTTTTACTCTTTGTTGTTTAATATCGACTTGGGGGCCAGGAAGTGAATCTATAACAAGCATTACTATAGCCAGTTTACATTTAATTTCTTAGCGTAACAATAATAAGTTATTTCTATTTGTTACATAATGTGCGTAGGTAATTAATATAGCTTGACATGTGTAGCACAAAAAAAAAACATAGTTAATTTATTTACTTTTAAAAATATACTCTATATATATATTTTTTAAATATAATTTTGCATTTATTTATGGTTTATACCTTTCGTATCACACCGTCAACCTCGTTGTTCCGATCTAAAACCTAAGTATTTATTTATTGTCAAAAGAGTAGTAGAGTAGATAGTTTTACAGTATCCCGTAAGTAACCCAAAAAATCTCACTTACGAAGTTAAACGCACAAACACGCTTTATTTGTCTGATATGAAATTGATATATAAAGATTGACATTATTTACGAAAAATTCGGTTACTGTACAATACAATGTCGAGCTCCGTTGTCATTTACTTTTCAATATATTATTTACATATATCACAATCCCAGATGAAGACCCACTGTATATATAACACAATATTTGAATGTTGAAATCTTATATCTAGTTAAAATTTTCATGTATTTGTTGTGCGAGATGTATTCAGACACATCCAGTGTATTGTATTGTAAATAATTAGTAATTTTATTGTGTAACGTAAATTATAATTGTATTTTAAGCGCTTCTATAAAATATACTCTTGCTGTGTTAATTCATTTTACTTCCATTTTTATAATACTTCTATATATTATAGTATAATAAATAATGATACAGTACATCACTTTGCAATTTCTAATAAATATTCTCTGAATAAAAAAGGTAGAAAACATCATTATGTTGTAAATTCATAATATATAATACATTAAATATGTTCTATAAATAAATTTAAATATAAAACGGGGGTCTTCGGTCACACCATTTAAAATAACAAGACGGAGCTCGCAGTGTGTTTCCGGACGCATTCTTATCTGCCCGCAAAGTTGCAGAGAGCTGTCAGTGTCATAGTGACCAGCAGTAGTGCGGTGCTAAGTAGCGGAGAAGTATCGGCCGAGTTGATTCTCGCTCCCTGGTCTCCCGGGATCGGGACTGGCGTGCCAGGATCCACGACGTGGATTTTCCAACCAAGGTTATTGTGTGTGTAGCACTGTTAAAATATTTTTGTTTATAAATATAATAAATAAGAACTCTATACTAATATATAAATATAATCATCTCTATATTAATGTTATAAATAAGAACTCTATAATAAATAAGATCTCTTCAGTTTTAAGGCAATCCCCCTTATTGCCTTTGGCAATATCGGAATCCTCGGCGTCGACATATCGAGAGACGTGCAGTTTCGTGGTCACTTGGAAGAGAAAGCCAAAATGGCCTCTAAAAAGCTTGGCGTGCCTAGCAAAGCGGGACAGTATTTCATGCCGGCACATCGCTTGCAACTTTATAAGACGCAGGTCCGGCCGCACATAGAATACTATTCCCATCTCTGGGCTGGGGCTCCCCAGTGTCAGCTCCTTCCATTCCAAAGCGCAGAGCCGTACGATTCGTCAGCACCTGAGCTCTTTCCGATCGGCTTGACTCACTGGCACTGCGAGATGTTGCATCTATTTATTTTATCGCATTTATCACGGGGAATGCTCTGAGGAATTTTTCGGGCTAATTCCAGCCACACAATTTCACTATCACACATCGGTACAAAACTCGCGATACCATTAATACTATCTGGATGACTGGCGGTTCACCATTGTGTGATTTAAAAGAAGTTTTCTTCTCCGGATCGATACGACTTCCACCTTCAACCTTCAAGGGACCTTCAATAAAATACCCTACTTCTTTTTAAAAGACCGGCAACGCATCTGCAATTCTCCTGGTGTTTACTATACTTACCAACAGTTGAGCCGTATGCTCTCCTATAAAAAAATCTTATTTGTAGCAATATTAATATAATTTGTTATCCGGAGACCCGTTAAGTAAAATTTGGACAGATCTAGAGAATATATTTTCCATCACCTTTTCCACTTAACGGTCTTACAATTTTCGGACGACATATTGTTATTATTAATATTATTGTTATATAAGAAAGTTTAATATAATATATTTAATATTCATGTTAAGATCACGTGGGTGATACTGGGATCACATTATATGCACTAAGTGTTGGTACATATTGTAGTTTATATCATGATACAAAGCAATGCTGTGTGTGGTTATTCCTGTGATTGCAATACACTGCATCTCACACCTCCGATAATATCATTATGCGTCATTAGGCACAATCAACCCGTTTAGCCGAGAGAGTGTCTTTGATAATGCGTTGACTTGCTATTATTTATCTGGAGCTAAATAGTGATTTAACTCCAGATAAATAACAGCAAGTCAAGCTAGTCAGCTACTTACCATCACATATCATCAGGTGGGATTGTAGTTAAGAACTGACGTACTTAGTAGAGGAGGGTGGAGGGGTTAATTTCGCCCAGGGTACCCGGATGGTCGGCTATAGATTGGAGAGTCCTATGTTCAGCACTGAACTTTTATAGGCTGTAATGGATGGATGGATGTAATAAGTTAAGAGAAACAAATGTTTCTATAGTAAAATTAATTTTTCCTTGTAGTTGGGGCCATAAATCAAAGCTCAGCCTCAGCCCGGCTAGGTCAGTGAGCATTTTGCGCGGGCGCAACGCCATTATCGATAACAACAAATGAATCATCGAAGGCACACGGCCACCAAAAACAGCTCTTTTAAAATTTCAGACGTCGAAGTGTTACTGCATGAAGCAATTTCAAATGTTTCGCAAAAGAACTGGGAAGATTGTGTGAAGCATGCAGAAAAACTCCAGACTTGAGTAATCTCATCTGGCAGAAGATATCGTAATTCATGTGGATGACGATGACTCTTATTATTCTGATGTAGAATTTTAATGTAAATAGTTTTCGATTTAATTTTAGATATAAGTTATAATCTTTATATATATATATATATATATATATATATATATATATATATATATATATATATATATATATATTAATATAACTTGTTACATTCCAAACATTTGTACTTATAGTTTTTTAATACATAGATACCTAATTAATAATTTATTTCAAATCATTATTATTCTTATTTTAATAAATACGTTGTTTTCTCTATTTTTTTTTCATTTTTATCACTAACCCGCATAATGATAAATACACTATCGATAACGCCTATCGACTACAATAATGCGCATCACTATGCTTGCTTCTAAGGCCCGTGAGTGGGAGAGAGAGCGAAATACTCTGATGACTTATGACCCAAACTGCACGGACAAAACAATTCTAGTATAGCAAAAACTTCTCAACGACTGTTTGCTCAATTGTTAATGATAATCATTTAAAAAAAAGATTAAAAGAAAGCCTTTAACCATTTTTTAACCACGTTGCTATCGAGTTTGCGAATCTGTTAAAGATTATGAACCAACGAATTTGATTAAAACGTTTGATCTCACCTGATAGTAGACCAAGTCAGGGGTTTCGTGTGCCACGGTCCAGTTCAGCACGGCTGGTTCTCCCTCGTTGCACTCGAGCTGGAGAGTCTTCATGTAATCCTCGAAGGTTTCTGATGTGGCGGATTGGTCGATTGTTTTATGAGTCCATTCGCAGTAACGGCCCACTGTGAACCAATGAACATACTCATTATCATCATTACAGCCCTACCCAAGTTTACTGCTGAATAAAGGCCTCGCCCAAAGAATGGCAAATAAATCAAGGTCCTAAGTGATCTGACCTGAGTGACGCTGAACTCATTTAGGTTGGTTGAGTATTAAAGTCTCTATATAGGGACTCAAGTGCTTGTGTTAGGATCAACGGGGCCTACTCGGACTGGTTTGGCATCTATTATAGTGTCAGACAGGGCTGTGTAACTTCCCAGTGGCTGTTCAACCTATTTATGGACGGTTGTTTGGAAAATTTGAAAGTTGAAGAATGCGGGTTCAACATTCAGCGACTTTTGCAAATCTTATCAGGTCGTCACTCCATCTGGTGGATGGCTGTCCTATACTTTGCTTACCGGTACGAGGCTACCACTCGAGAACCTTACAGGTATACCTAAAAACTTGAAAACGTTTTTAGGGATACCTGAAAGAGTTTTTAGGTATACTTGATAAGAGCTGATACGTTCCCCTTCACTGCTGGTCGTACGAGGAAGCTCAAGGTCACCATAGACCAAAAGATTAGTAAACTAAGCGGCAATTGATGAGCCATATAGCGCTAAGAATCGACCACCTATGGGGAAGAAAGAAACATGGACAAATAGGAACTAAATATTTACAATGGGATATTTGAAGTTTTCTTATTACTTCTTCTTACTTTAAGAAGATGTAGTTTTATTGTGCGGTAGCCTACCGTCTGGGTAGATAAGATTAAGAAACAAAATAAAGATACGTTGTCATCCTGTGAGGACTAAGATAGAATGTTTCCGGTTCTCTACATTCACCGTACGAAACACAGCAGCATTAAGCTGCTATTTTACGGTGGTGTTCTGTACGTGATCCTTCCACAGTCGAGCCGATCCATTCTTTACCGTTACCGCTTATTAAATAACCACTGCTGAACCAGTAGCGAAGCTAAGGCTCAAAACAAAGGGCAAGCCCAAGATATGGTTTTGTTATTTTTAGCAGTTTTATTAAAACACACCAATCATGATCTGTTTTCACTCCACAATTTCGGTGGCTTTGAAAAAAGCCGCTTGGGTTTACTTGAGTAAAGGAAAAAGATATTTACATACAATACAATACATGAACAAAAGAAAAGCATGAACAAATTACAAACAATTAACAAAATAAAAAAAAAATATTTATATTCAAAATCGAATCGTCTCTTTTTCTTAAGCAAAGATTTTATTACGTCCGCGTAAAATGTTGGTGGAAATTTTAATTGTACCAATAATTGTTTTTCGATTGCAATAATTGATAAGGCATATGAGCTGGTTTTTCTCAACAAAGTTAACGAAAAGATTTTAATTTTTCCTCGCCGATTAGAACTTTAACACACTTCAATTCATCACAAGGAACACTATTATCCTCCATTTTCACTAAAAAACTTTAAAAAAACATAAATTTTCAACTCTCATTATTTTTTCGTTCAAGTAAACACACACATTAACATTGAAATGTGAAGTAAACTTGCAAACGAATCGCCCGCGCGCCCCCGCACTCTACTAACTTCACAACAAAAGCCCAACTTATCGCTAGATACTTATTCCAAACAATCGTAGTTGTATTTCATTATAGAACATTTTGCTACAGGTTAGAAAGGGAGCGATCGTCTTCTCGAAAGCCTGGTAAAAGCCCACGCGTGTGAGAGAGACGACTAATCGCTTAACTCAACTCCTTTTTATGACAGCAGTATCGCGCAGTTTTGTCCTGACCAGGGTCCATCCATATTGCTTTGCTTTCATTAATTTTGATAGTCTATTGCGTGTTTGTTTTGAGGCAGAGAGAACACGAATCATTCTATTTCGAATTGAAAGCAAACTGCCAAGTGTTGACGTTACATAATAAGGCTACGACGTCATGACTTGTGTTGAACAGAGGAGCGCGCGGGAAAAATAAAATAGTTTGAAACAGTTTACGAGTTATTTTATAAGTTGATATTGTTGATTGAGCAGTTTGATAGGGCAAACCCGGCTTCTTGGCTTCTACGGAGGCTTCGCCACTGTGCTGAATATAGGTATCTCCCACATATTGTTTAATATGGAGAATATTTGCTACAACTGCCAAGCTTGGCAGGCGGGTTGGCAAACACATCATTTTATATTTTTGAGTTGTTATTAGAAAGGCGCTGCTCCCCATCTTCTGACTATTTTCCGTTCAATATTCTTACATTACGACTACATACTAAGACTTATTTTTGCTTCAACCGTAATGTAGCTAGTATTGTTGCTCTACCACGTTAATAATTTAGTTAGTAGACTATAGAATAATCAACAGTATAGGCGTTAGAATCACAATACGTACCAGCAGTTGGATAAGGATAACCCTCGTTATCATATGCGACTCCAGCAAACACACGCTGCTTTCTCTGATCTTCTTCCCTTTTTTGACCAAATCCGCCTTCTGACGAGTCACTGATGTAGAAGGGGTGGAACTTAGCGGGGTTGGTGCGATCATCCCCGCCCTCGACTAAGAAAGTGTACGTCTGGCCACGTTCAACATAGATCTCTGGTATCAGCTGGTCGTTGATGTACCACGCAATGCCCCACGATGGGTGACCTGGTGAAAATGAATTAATGGTTGGATTTTCTTCCTTAATAATTAATTATGACAACATTTTATGACTTTTACTAGAAAAGAAGCCTTTTAAAAATAAATTATAACTAAACTCAAGCATACCACTGCAAGATTTAAAGATACTGTTACTGATCGTTCTGCGTACATTGCACCAAAAATTAATATTTAAACTCTGAAAATGACCCGGTTTAAGTGACACCAGAATGCCAAACTCTTCAGTCCCCCGTAGCCACAGCTATTGTGAGGCCTTCAAAATTTTGGGTACCAAAATTAAGTAAAAATAATGATTAATATGCCCCCAGACCGAATTTTGGCCACGGCAGCCTGTATCTACGAAGACTAGCAATTTGTGAGGGTCAGGATTATAATGCCCAAGTAAAGGTGCTCTCTCTATTTTCTCACTCTCATAGTCCGATAGGATGGTTATCCGATAAGACTAGAGAGAGATCAGGCGCAGAACCGATGGCTTTGCGTGCTTTCCGAGGCACGGGGTGAAACACCGCTAACTTCTTAATTCCGGGTTACTACTGAGAATTTCTTTCCAGAAAAAGCTAATAACTGCATTTGTCTCGATCCGGGATTTAAACCCGGGACTACAACATTAGCGACCGCATTTACGACCACTACACTAACGAGAAATTATGATGATGACAATCGCTCAACTTCCATTTTTATCTCAAGCCTAACAACATATTAAAAAAGATTATTATGTTTGGGTTTAGACTGTTAGCTTATTTTAATTGAGTAAGGGCTGATTTTTCAATCGTCAGATAAAAGTTATTCATAAAAAATGCAACATAAACAAATTGAAAATGACACTAATATGAATAAAATAGTTCAATAGAGAAGTTGCATTAATTTTTTTTCCACAAATTTATATATATAAAAGAATAATTAATTTAAAGTATATTTAAATAATTTTTTTATTAAAAATTCCATTTTTAGGTAGTTTTATTAAAAATTAGTTACATTTTAGAATAAAAAACGACTTGTGATTGGTTGTGACGTCATACTGTACTTTTTTTATTTTATTAATTCGGATCACCACGTGTCATAACCTTAGAGTAATTACATACATACGTATGCAATAACAAAACATATATAACCTGTATTAGGCATTTGACATTTTTTTTTAATTTTGACGTAATATATTTACGTAAGACGTAAGTGTTTTATCATTTCACCATGCTTATTAAGGTGATATCGATATAATGACGTCACCGGCATTTGAATTTACATTTTAGAAAAACCATTTTTAATTGTAAAACTACATGAAAAATTAATTGTTAATTTGTCAATTTTGATAAATAATTGTAAAAGAAATATTTAAAACCATATTTACCCGGTAAGAATCCATTACTTAAGTCGTTGTCTGCATGTAAAAAGAAATTAATAAGAAAGTTTCGTTTGAATAATTTGTATTGACAATAAACACACAAGTATGAAAAATACAAAAACAATCTCTAATGAATGGTTTAAAAGCCTTTTGAATAGTTCGTAAAGAGTGCACGGCTGGACATGGGGACATGGGACAAGGTTAAAGCCCATGTCCAGCCCTCCTGCTCACTTGGCTTTGCTTTTCTTAAAGGATAATTAAGTAAATATAGAAGAGAAGGAGGGAGTAAACTGATTCGGCGTAACGTTTGTCTTTGCGCAAAAGCGTCGATAATAATAATAATAAATGAATTGTTACGAATGTGCGAGAGCGCGATTTAGGTCACAACGCACTTTTTATTATCCCTAGATCAGTTTCTAGAGATGATTAAAATTATCTTTTATATTATACAGTCAATATAAACCTTTGATTTAAAATCATACATATTAGTGATGGACCGAATATGGATTTCACCGAATACGAATATTCGGCCGAATGTTCGGTAAATTTTTTACAGAACCGAATATTCGGCCGAACATTATTCGGTAGGATAACCTCGGGACCCAACCTATTTATGTCGAAACTTGTTACCGTAAAGCGCACGGGATTAGCGCCGGACCCTGCCTCTCGCTCCCCGCCACACCTGACAGTTATTGCATCGTCTAGTACTGAGCAAATTGCCGGCACATGCTTATTTTTTGACTATTCTTGTGATAAAAAAGTATTTTGTTGTTTTATTCTTAGTGAAAATTGATAATTATATGATAGAAATGAGCGGCAGGAGATTTACTATTTGGACTTATTTTAGAGAAACTGACGACCAAAGTAAAGAAAATGTACTAATGTAATGTAATGTTTCTTTGTTTGATTCCAAAAACATTTTATCAAGTTTCTATTTGCCATAATCAGAAATAAATCTACAGTACCTCAAAAACCTAAATGTATAGATTTATTCATTTGAGGTTTACTACACTTACACTCTAGAGTAAGTAGATTTAACCCATAAATAAAATACACTTTAACAGTAAAAGACATCGCATTAGTCAATTCGTACATTTCAATACATTGGAGACAATGAAAACGAATGTTCGGTGATTTAGCCGAATATTCGGATGAATACGAATATTCGGTAAAGCTGCCGAATATGCCGAATACCGAATATAAAACGAATATTCAGCCTATCTCTAATTCATATTCTTAATTTTAGCAAATCTTGAATAGAATTGTAGCGGCGCTGTAGTCGCGCCACTAGCGAAACACACCGAAGCCTAAATCGCGCTATCAAAAATTCCGAACCATAAACAGTATATATAGAACTTCTCCGAACTATCACTCGGAGTGTTGGCCACTCCCCGGGCAGAACACCTTGCCCGGCGGGAGATGTCCCTTTTCCTTTTATGGCCACAGTGGTGACCCCGACGTGATCTGAACACGCAACCAACAACCTTCAGAAACTTCAAGCTTCATCATCGTCATAGAAAACCCCACCCATTCCCTCACGAGCAGATATCGTCTGCAGTCTTCATATCCTGCAAGCCAGCTAGCTTCACAAGGTTCATCGCAGCACTGGAATAATAATGCTTCCTGTTCCTTCAAGCTACACTCTGCGCTACAGTGTTCAGCACGGCTCTGAGTCTTACTGTTCGCCTCTGCTTCACGGCACTCTCGCAGATTACTTGCCTTCGTCTCGACTCACCGCAGACTACAAGTGCACTATCGACCTCCGGTCTGAGCAGGGGGGTGATGTGGCGGCGCTGTCATCGCGCCAATAGCGAAACACACCGAAGCCTAAATCGCGCTATTAAAAATTCCGAATCATAAACAGTATATATAGAACTTCTCCGAACTATCACTCGGAGTGTTGGCCGCTCCCTGGGCAGAACACCTTGTCCGGCGGGAGATCTCCCTTTTCCTTTCATGGCCACAGAATTAATTAGGGTTTTGAGCCTTTGGCTTCGGCTTCGGTCGAAGATTGTGCCGATAGCTGATTAATCAATTTAATAAAATATCAAAAATAATAAATATATAATTATTTTGTTTTCTCTAAAGCAAAGGAAATGATCCTACTTTCATACTGTTTTTTAGACTTAGGTTGGTAAATATCGATATTTTCTCACAAATTTAATAAAAAAAATATTCAATATTTATTTCAGAGTATCAAATTAGTATCAATTTCCATATATTTTAAAATGTTATATTTATTTTATAATTTAATGGACAAAATAATTTAATAGGCAAAATATAAGCAACAAAAGCAACTACAAAAGCATTTATGTCATTGATGTGATTGGGTGAGAATAAGGCCAGCGCCATACTTGACGGAAATTCCGTCGCAGATCTTCCGCGGCGGAACGTCAATACACGTTATTGCATATAAATTACAAATAGCGGGCACACTACGCGGAACATCGGTCGTTCCGTCGCGGACGATCAGTCGCTCCGTGGCGGACTGCTTGCTCTCGCGTCTGCTCCGTCCTCCGCGCACCGATCTTCCGTCGGCGTAAGGTCGGCAACGTCGCGTTCCAGGTATTTGTATGCATCGCGCCACATTTGGCGGATAACTCGCGGTGACGGCGCAGGCACAGGATGTTCGACACTGAACGATTTATTATCGAAGTGCAAAATAGAGTTTGCCTTAGGGACTCTAGAGAAAAGCCAGATAGAACGCCAAAATGAAAATTCTTGTAATGAATTATCAAGTTATGCAAACTCTCAAACAAAAAGAAAACCTAAAGTGAAATAATTTGTCTCATTTACACTATTAATATTTATCTTACTTTTTCAGGAGATATAGCCGACCTAAGTTTTGTATTTTGCTTGGTAATATAATACTTCGTTAAATTAAACAATACATCAAATGATTGTACGGACTTTCGATAATATTCGAATGCTTTATCTGGATTATGTCTAACAAAGTATGAAATTGCCCAATTTCTAGTCGAACACACCGTATAAGCGTTGGCAGTCAACCGATAATCTGCCACTGAATATTCAGAGTGGCTGCAACTTATGGTAACGGATTTACTCCCGCGGAAGTTCGGCGTCGGAATTTCCGTCAAGTGTGGCGCTGACCTATAAGTCAGGGTTACATGAAGTTCGGTTTTACCCCAAATTATCCAAAACTCTGTCAACTTGAAGAACGAGCGAGAAAGAACGAAGAACGCTTAAAGCCCTATATATTAGCTATATTATACTACACTATATTAGCAAATTTACCCTAAAATAGTGCAAAGTACCTAAAAGTGGAAACACTGCACGCACGTATGGCACACATTGGTGGTTGCGTTAGTGCTCCATAAACGTTTTAGCACCAATTAATCGGTGCAACTTTGTTTGTTCAATGACCCTGTTCATACGCAGTAGTATAATAAGTCTATGATTTATGTTCTGTTTTTTTTCGTCGTCATACAGTCCAGTAAAATAATTTTGGCTCTCATCGTACCACATCATGCAAAACATGACGATATATCAATATTTATCACGCGAAATTGAAATATATCGATACGATAAATATCGATATATTTTTTAACCTGCCCGTCCCAAGTGACATATGAACTGCACACATGTTTTTTTTCACTGAGGCAAAAGAAATAATCCCGTTCAGGCTACTGTAATACTGCTTGCGTTTGAACTACACACATGTTTTTTTTCTAAGGCAAGGGAACTGATGTCATTTAGCTTTCTGTGCTGGTGCCAGCACCACCACTGACCTGTGATGGGCGTGTAGCCGCACGTCAGCTGTAACACCACGCCACTGACCTGTGATGGGCGTGTAGCCGCGCGTGCCCCCAGTAGGCCCGATGCGCGCAGTGAAGCTGCGCTGCGCGGCAAGCACACGCGCCGGCCATGGCACCGGCCCGCCCGCCGCCAGCTCCGCCAGCCCCACGCACGCCGGTTCCTCCTGCACACCCGTCCGCACACACTTTACATTTGACCAATAATAATTATTATTCGTTGTATTAATGTCTTCACCCGATAATAGATGTCGCTAATAATACTTACAACACCTAAGTATGGTTTTAACTTTATACTACAGCGAAATAATCGAAAAGTACAAATTTTTATAGTAAATTGAAATCTATAATTTAACATAAACTATACAATTAGACTTATTGTAATGTCCCCCAAACCGAATTTCGATCACAGTGGCCTGTCTCAACGTCCACTAGCCAACTGCGCAGAACAGAATTTATAGTGCACGAGAGCATTCGCAAGCATAGGTGCACACTCTATTCCCTCACCGTACAAAGTTTAATGGGACGGTGACCTGACAAAACTGGAGAAAGATCACCAGCTTTACGTACTTAGCGAAGCACTGTGGGAGAAAAGACTCCTCCAACTTCCGAATCCGGGCTGCTACTGAGAGTTTTTTTTAATGAAAACCCCAATAAATGATTTAGCCCGACCCGAAATTTGAACCTAGGACCTCAAGAACAGCAACCACTATAACGACCACTAGATCAACGAGTCAGTAACGAACTACTAATCCCCTGTAGTGGCGTGCAAAAATACCCACTACCTCATATCTTCCAGTGGGTGTCGTAAGAAGCGGCAGAAGGAAACTGAGGCAGAAGATAGGTAACAGCATCTTTCTGATAACAGCGAAATATCAATAAAAAAACTGCGCGCTCGCCAAGCGTCGCTGACTATTGATAACACGGCGGAACAGGGTGTACTAAGAATCTTCAGTGGGGGTTCGGTTGCCTAAGACGACTCGACCTGGCAACATATAGTATACATAACGTGACATCACGCACGCACCCTGAGGAACGAGAAGATCCTGGCGCTAGATGAAGAGATAGATCAGTTGCGCTGGAATATATAGGATTAACCGAATTTGGAAGAGAGGGGGAGGATTCGGTAATCCTCGAATCCGGCAAAATGTTCCATCACCGGGAGGGCGACCATCTGTCCCAAGGAGGTGTCGGAATTATCGTCCACAAGTCTCTTGTTAACAAAGTTGTAAAGATCGGGAGTGTTATACTCAGAATCACCAAATTGTATTTGCTGAAGGTCGTACAGGGCTTCGCACCAAACTCAGAGAATCCTGATGAGGAGGTGGAGGAAATGTATGATTATAATCTAGAGCTATATGACTTCCTAAAACCCACTATACTGTGGAGACTTCAACGCAATACTATATACAAGAGAGAACCGTTAGCTGAAGGTAGGGAAATTCGGGATAGGGCAAAGGAACTCAAGGGGACAGCAGTTGGCCGACTTCATGGAGAAAAAGAAACTCTTTATAATTAACTCTTTATTCAAGACGTGGCCCCATAGAAAGAGAACTTAGTCGAGCCCTGACGGTTTGACAAAAAATTAAACTGACATCATGTAAGGGTAAAAACTGGCAACAATCTCCGAATGGTGAAAGGCACACTGAACCTACACGTTAAGTTGGATAGGTCACGTCTAATGAAGTCAACGCTCCCCTCGTACTCTTATCCAAAGTCCCGAAAACTTTTGGCGTTCGGTGCTAAGATCTGCAAGATCCGCCGCGGAATAACAAATAAACTATCCCCCTATCACACTCTTAATCTCATGGCTGTTAGACAGGAAATGAAGCTGCAGTCTTCAGCAGATTTGACAGCATACAGGCAGTTGAACAGACAAATCTACAAATGCATGCGGCTCGACTTGCGTTACTTCAATACAGTTCGTATTGAAAAAGACTTTGGTATGGTTCCACTCTACCACTTCGGTCGAGTGGAACCATACCAAAGTCTTTACCACCATTCAATTTCCAGCAAAAGCACCCGAAACGTCGGGAATTAGAAATAATTAAAAATTAAACGCAATAAAATCCGAAAAGTAGTTTTAATCGATGTGTAGTGTTCGCGTAAATATAGGAAATCATCATTCAATTTCCTTCACAATTTTTTTACTTTTTCCCGAATCATGCCGTAATCTGGATTTCGTTTTAGGACTAGCTCTAGTTTATTTTCGATTACTTTATTAGAAGACCAGCTTAAAATACATCTAACTTTGTCTATAATTTCTAAGCTCTCTGATATAGATAACTGGGTTTTTTGAAGTTTACTTATTGCTTCTTCGATAACAGTGAAGTTTCCGTTTATATAGCTTCGTTTGCTTTCCTTATGTACAAGCCTTCATTGCTATTAAGACAGTTTAATACATCGGATACTACCTGAAAGTATTTTAATAAGTAACTCGCTGCCTTCAGCCATGTACCCCATCTTGTAATTACGAGTTGTGATGGAAGTGGTATATTAAGGTAATTTCCACTCTGTTGGGTGATCTTGAAAATATCTTCTTTATATTTGATATAGATCGGTACCAGAGATCTGTCTGCCAGAAAGAGCTAACTATTCAAGCTAAAGACCGAATGTGGCAGCGTCGTTTCCATGCCACCTAAGATTTTATGAGATTGAGAGGTTCTATGGGCAGCTGTATACATAATTGTTGGAGCCACACGCAACTATGAGTAATGGCCCGATAGGAAGTCTTATCTGACACTATTTCAATGATATCCTGGACGTCTGTCTTAACGAGATTAGAATGGCTCTCCAGCACCTTAAAAACGGCAAGACCCTGGGCGAGGATGGGATTACAGCGTAGCTTCTGAAAGCGTGTGGAAAACCGGTACTTAAAGTCCTTCAGAAGCTCTTTAATTTCGTATATCCATGGTGGCACTACACCGGTGGCGTGGAGCAGAAGTGCCACTGCATTTGTTCTACAAAAAAGGCGACAACGCTCTCTTGAAGAATTACAGACCAATTTCCCTTCTGAGTGCCGCGTCTACGTGCTGTTTTTAAGAGTCATTATGAATTGTCTCACAAGCAGACTCGACGAGTCCCAGCCTCCCGAACAAGCCGGTTTCCGAAAAGGCTTTATGCCACATACATACCCTTCGGCTAATAATACACAAGACCAAGGAGTGCAATCTGCCATTTCGTCTTGCATTATGTCTTGCTTATGTGGACTATGAAAAAGCCTTTGATTCCGTCGAAATTTGAGTGGTGCTGCAGTCCCTTCAGCGATGACAAGTTGACTGTCGGTATATCGAAGTGTTTGTACAGTAAGGCTACGATGGCTATCCGAGTACAGAACCGGACAACGAAATTTACCCAACTGCAGAGATATGTAAGATAGGCTGATGATATATCTCCGAAATTCTTCACTACTACATTGGAAGACGTTTTTCAGCTACTGGACTGGAAAGGATACGGTATTAACACCAATGGTGAGTACATCACTGACCATTGATTTGCCGACGATGTAGTTCCTATGGCATAATCGCTGGAAGGCCTAAGCACTGCTCAATGACCTCAATAGTGGCTCCCAACGGATAGGTCTTAAGATGAACATGGACAAAATAAAGATCATGTGTAATGTTCATGTCACATCGGTAATGGCTGGGACCACTAATGTCGAAGTTGTTTACGAGTATGTTTACCTGGGACAAATAGTCCGACTAGGTAAGTCCAACTTCGACTGAGAGGTCAATCTACGAATTCAACTCGGCTGGCCAGAGTTTGGGTCAAATTACGACACATCTTCTCGTGAGGCATACCTTAAAACTTAAAAACGAGAATGTACAACTGGTGTGTGTTGCCAGTGATGACTTACGGTTTTAAGCTATGGAGCGGGCTATGCTGAGTTTCTCTGCGTGATAAACTTAGAAAGGAGGATATCCGCAGTAGAACCCGACATAGCCCAACGGATTAGTAAGCTAAAGTGGCAATGGGTCGGCCATATAGCTCGAAGAACCGACAATCGATGTTATCGAGTAGCAGCCTCGCACCGCTAGGCAAAGTGACGGGTGACCTCTCCACTGGATTGAGTGACGACGACCTGGTAAGTCACGCAGGAAGTCGATGGATGCATATGGCTCAGGACCGTGCTTTGTGGTATTCTTGGGAGGAGGCCTATGTTCAGCAGTGGACTTGTGAGGACTGTAATGATGATGATCACATAAAGAAACACAGAAGTTTAAGTAGGTAGTTATTAGAAAGACTTTGCTACCCATCTGCTTGTTTACTCTTAGTAAGTCGTTGCCCCTTGACACTCACGAGATGATATGCATATTCTTACATCGCCACTACGCGCTCGGAAGGTGTAGTGGACAATCAAGTCAATAGAAATACGTTTTATGAGCTGTCAAAATGAACTTCTATCTCATATAAATTTTAACAAAATACTAGGCGCACACGATATTCAAATAAGACTGTAGAACTGACATATTACTTCACATTTCTACACAACGTCCTAATTAGCTTCAAGTGTGGTGTGAAAATAAAAATAAAAAGACATTCAATAAACTAGTCCGCTCTACCATATCCTCTTTAATCAATAAGCGGCTCCATGGCGCAGTGAAACAAGTATTTATACGGTCTTTAAATTACTGTTCCAGAAATGAATATTTGTGCATGTGCAATTTATGTTTGTAAACTGCCTCCACGATACAGGAGAAATTATTGTGTGAGGATAACGCTTTTTAAAAAAAAAGCAGAAAAAGACTCTTGTTCCATTTTTGCTTTGTTCAACAAAATTTGTATCGCTAAGATCGGTGTTCTGGTTTTATTTCATATACTTAGAATTACTATGAAACTATATCATCTTTCGATAAATAAAATCAGAGAAATCTATTTGTAACGTCGTAGAGATATCTTACGTGGTAGAGCCACGCTGCAGCTATATTAATTGTATAGTTGTAGCACGAATGGGTCGGCTCGACCGGGGAAGGACCACGCTCTCACAGAATACCAGCGTAAAATAGCAGCTTAATGATGCTGTGTTTCGTATGGTGAGTGTAGAGATCCGGAGACCCTTTTTACTGGAAAAGAGGCATTCTATCTTAGTCCTCAAGGCTGACAACGCATCTTCATTTTGATTCGCAAACGAGGATAGATGTAGATATCTATGGGCCGCGGCAACCACTTACCATCATGTGGACTGTGTGCTCGCTTGTCATCCTTTTCCTATAAAAAAAAAAAAAAAAGAGATTGCGTTTTACACAAAATAGAGACCCCTTTTGAAGTTTTTTTTATAGCATTGGGTGACAAACGAGCATACAGTCCACCTGATTGTAAGTGGATGCTGTGGCCCATAGACATCTAAAATGCAAATGCGTTGTCACCCCTGAGGACTAAGACAGAATGCCTCGTTTCCAGTAAAAGGGGTCTCCGGTTCTCTACACTCACCATACGAAACACAGCAACAACAAGCCACTATTTTATGCTGGTATTCTGTGAGAGCGTGGTCCTTCCCCGGCCGAGCCGACCCATTTGTGCTACAGCTATACTACTAATATAACTGCAGCATGGCTCTACCACGTATAGGTTTTATTTCATATAAAATTACTATAAAACTATATCATCTTTCATTAAAAAATATCTATTCATAATGTCGTAGAGATCGCGTGTTATTTAAAATTGAGACTCCTTCTGAAGTTGGTTAAATATGACTTACATACCTGAGCACCGAAGTCCAACTGTACATCATTTCTTGTCGTGTCCATGAAGGAGTGTGCGTTCGCTTCGTAACGGGAGTTGAGAGGACCGAAGGCTGCTATCACGGATTGCGAGCGAGAAGTCAGGATCTCTTTATCCTTCATCGGTTCCTTAGCCGCGAGCGGGCGACGGTACGTTATTGTGGTTATGCCGTTCTTTTGTTGTCCAGACACTGAAAGATTGACAGCAAAAATTAAATTTGATAGATTTTTGATTGAAAATGAATTTGACAAGATCCACATGCACCTATTAAGTCGTAAGACTTTTCTGCGATTTGTCCTCATTTAGAGGGGAAATACGTGTCAAAAGTTGTTGTGTGCTTAGTGATGGTGCAGTGATATTGCGATTGTGAAATGGAGGGGGCGCTCTTGAATCTATATAGATCCAAGAGCGCCCCCCTCCGGTACATACAATATCCACGTACAAAAACAAAATAAGGTACACCCTATTTTGTTTTTGTACGTGGATATTTAATATTATACTGAATTTCCGTAAAATAACGTCTCATTCTGTTAATTGGATGTAATGATGATAATGTATTGATAGAAAAATAGATCGGAAATTCTTCATTATATTTTTTTATATAAACGCAATCTAAATGATGATGTAAAGTTCTTAATACTTAAAACGTGTATTAGATTTGTGTGTGGTGTTGTTAGCCTACTAGATATATAGAGTACATCTTGATAATATCGAAGGGTTTCCATCTACCTTAACTCTAACGCAACTGTTGTCACCTCTGTAGCTTGCTGTTATATATGCTTATAATAAATAAAAGAGAGAAACCTAAGACAGCGTCATTGCTTCCACCCAGCCTCTGATCAGGGCACACGCCCCGTTCTCCGTCGCACTGGGCCAAATGGGTAATTGTGTAGTCAGCTACGCGCGGTTGGTTTGCTCTGAAAACAAATTGAATATCTAAAAAATCAAATAAAATTTACAACCGTAATACTTCAGACATGTAATTTGCAAAACCTATTAAGGAAGCTTTGTTTAGAAATGGCATAACTACAAAAGAGATCAATATATTTTAGGGCGATGATGTGTGAAAATAATTCTTACTCTGAACTTACAAGTCCCCGGACATTATATTGATTACTACTTGACTAGACATTGTATTGATTTTGTTAAAAGTGTTAAATGACATTGCAACATTACATTAAAAAAAACCTAAAGTTTTTTTTGCTTATTTCTCTCTAAAAAGGTATTGTTTTGAGAACCTCTTAGATTTTGACGTTCATCAATTGCGTTAAGTAAGTACGCTACACCAAATAAAAAAAAATACCTTAACTTTGATTGTTTACTGAAGCCGATTGTTTACTGACTTTATGGTTAAAGAATTTGACAGCAATAAAGTTCGATTTAAATTAAAGCAGAAACCAATATTCGGGTAAAATACAAATCATTTGTTAACTGTCACTGTGGGACTGTAATCTTCACAGACCGTAGTGCCTAAGGTACTGCCGCCTTTGAAATACTCTTTCCAAACAACAGTTAAGAATGAAACCATTTAAATTCCTATAAAGTAATATTACTTAAGCAGTTACTAATCTATCAATTTTTATTTCATATTTGTATAATATAATACATAATTATAAAGTGTGATAGAGGACGGACAAGTATGTTGTTATTCACAGTAACTATTTACTTAGAGAAGGACCTTGTGAAAAGTTAATCCATGTAATTTCTTACAGAGCAATTAGTACAAAGTTCAAAATTTATAGCGTAGCAAGAAACTTCACAAAGTTTTACAGTATAGAGACTATCCTCCGAAGTTTCTTAAGTTTGCAACAGTTTTGCTTTAGTTTCTTACATTCAAGGAGAAATTTCTTCGTCCTTTTCTTTAAAGTTGCATTTTTTACATCCTTGTAACTTTAAGGGACCTTTTTCTGTAAACAGAACCTTTTGAGATACAACGATAAAATAAGGACAAATACATTTTTTCCTACATAAATATTAAATTATTGATATTAAATTTTAGTATTGCGATATTGACAACACAATTTTAAAAACGTTACTCCGTTACGTTACTCCCACATTACGGGTATGTTCCAAAATAGAATCCAGTGTACTGTCCAATGCAAATGACGTCATGAATCGATTCTATACTGGTGATTCGTTCCAACTTCCAATACATAGGACAGTGTATGACGTCATACATTTACGCCATATTGGAAAAATGTTGGCGATTATTTTGTCATTTTATTCTCCAAAAATCATTGTATCCTCCTAATGGAGATACCAGCAATTATTCTATAATATTTATATTATTTGAATAAATAAAAACAAATTCTGGCATGCTTCATTCAGTGCACACACAATTAAAAATTGTTTTATTGTGGCCGGATATCCGACACAATATGACGGCGGCACGCCAGTACAATATAGTGTCAATTGATGACGTCATTTGTATTCGGCAGTATACTGAAAACGTTTCGGAATATACCCAATAAATACCTGTGTATCGTTAAAACGTTATACTCGTACATATCTACAAACAACAAACATCCAGACACGGGTTTATATTGCCATACAAATATTTGTTCCATGCAATGGTTGCAGTAATGAGCCATCCACATAAATATGACGTATATGGATTAAATTTACGATATTAAAAGGAAATATGTTAACTTCATCCTTTAAGTGATAACCTGAACTTACCAGATTTTTTTATAGATTAAGGGTTACTAACGAGCACACTGTCCACCTGACGGAAAGTGGATGCTGTGACCCATAGACATCTACATTTATCCTCGATTAAGAATCAAAACGCAGATGCGTCACCCCTGAGGACTACGATGAAATGCCTCGTTTCCAGTAAAAAAGGGTTTCCGGATCTCTACACTCACCATACAAAACACAGCAGTACTAAGCTGCTATTTTACGCTGGTATTCGGTGAGAGCGTGGTCCTTCCACGGTAGAGCTGACCCATTCGTGCTACAACAATAATATCATCGTCGAGGGATATTTCGGATTTTCTCAATTTACTCAAAATTTGTTATAAATAATACATATAAAACTAGATAGTTTATCAGACTACACTTCAGAATAAAAAAATCTTTTGCTTAAATAAATTCTTTATTTGAATAAAGGCGACAAGTGAAATAATAGTAAAACTAACGATGAGTAAGTTTTTCAAGAAAAAGTGAAAAATAAAGCGAAATTATTCCGTTTTTGCAATTATGCGAAAAATCAGCAAAGCCCTTTTTTGGAGCATGTCTCACGCGTGCAGGGTTTAGGTCGGGTGATTGCGCGAGCCAGTTTAAGAACGATACGCCGTATATATAACAGGATGCAACATGTGAACGAAGTAGAAGTCTATGACACTGATATTTTACAAAAAAATAAAAACACAAATTTTGAATTCAATGTTTGAATTTTTTTTAACAATTACTTTGCCCTTTGACCTTGAGCCTGTGTCCCTGCGTAGTGAAGGTCAAAAATGCCGTAAAGTAGGGTGGATATGATTTAAATTTCGATAGATTTTATTAATTAATTTATTCAATTCAAAAATAATTTGCTACTTACAACATGCACCGTTATTTCTGAATTTATTTATCTTAAAGATGCCCCATTTAAAGTTGAGAGACGTTTCGCCGGTGGTGGATATTTTCTGGTGTGGAGATCAGAATGGTTTTGGGTTTCACATTGGCACTGATAGAACACGCTATTGTAAAAGGGTGGAAGGTGCTTATCAAATTAGCTTTTCAAACTATTTCAAACTATTTTAATATTACAAGCGGATATGAACAAAATATATTTTTCTCGTCTTTAATCTTATTGATTTCCACCTAGTAGCCACTGATTCTTTTAAATGTCAAAAACATACTTGGTATCCCAATAAGCAACGACGACATCGGCCCCCAACATGGCCGGCCTGCCTTCAGCACCCGATATACCAAAGGCCATGTATTGTTCCTTACGAAGACGAGCCGCCAGGGTTATTTGAACTTGATCACCCTGGAAGGTGGAAGTAGGTGGAAATAAGATAAATTAGATTATGGTCATTTATTACACTTTAAAATACTGGATGGTCTTTTTTACCGTATGGAAAAATAGGGTGTAACATTTGAATGGAGTAGAAATCTATGGCACTGATATTTTTCAAAAAATAAAAAAAAATTGTGAATTAAATAAATAAATTAATTAAAATCTATCGAAATTCAAATCATATCCACCTTACTTTACGAACACCGATAAAAAAATAAATTTAGTAGGCATCTTTGACATTGTCACTTCGCAGGTTTACAGGCTCAAGGGCAACAGGCAAAGTAATTGTTAAAAAAAAATTCAAACGCTTAATACAACATTTTGTTTTTATCTTTTCTAAAATATCAGTGCCATAGGCTTCTACGCCGTTCACATGTTACACCCTATTTTTTCCAGATGTTAAAAAAGGTCATTCAGTATAGATAGTATGTATATTCATTAACGATATTTGACACAATCGGTAAACGTATTAACCTATAGAGCTATAGTTCTACCAGATTCTGCTGCATATGGGCTTCCTGTCACTACTTAGAGTTCATATGTAGAGTTGGTAGAGGTAGAGATAGAAACTATTTTCGAGTACACAGAAAATTTGAAGTAACGACTTGTGCAAGCCTATAAAAGTCTACCTGCTGACTCACGCTTGGCAGACGGATTTACGATCGCATTGCCAGACGTCTCGCCTCTGACGCTGTTTCCAGCGTCGGTCTGGGTATTTTACATCTGGCGGAAACGAGATTGTTATACCGCTGTCTGTGAGAATTTACTCGTATAATGATTTTTCTGGATTATCCCATAGACACCTCTTACGACATCCTCGGGACATATTGTGGGCATGGATCTTCTTACCAAACTATATTACATATTTATCAGGTAAAATTCATGTATACAATATCTATAAGTAAAATGTATATATAAAAGCCAGATTTATTATATTTCTTTACCTTAACGTATCACAGCTTGTCTTTCGCTTGTATGGAGAAACATTAATAAACTAATTAGCTAATTCTATACAAAATGACATGTTTATGGAGAATGCTTTAAAAATACTAAAATGCAGAAGGTAGATTTTCGGCGATCAAAGAGGAGACAATCCTCTTAAACCTGATTTATATATCTTTAAATGTTTAACTGGTGTGTGGTGGGAATTTTATTGAAATTTTTAACAATGTAATTTTTATTTATTATATTATGAAGTTTATTATTTAAATTATTTTTCAAATAATATTTTTGTTCTTTTTGAATTAAGGCATTTTCGTTATTTTTAACATGTCATTCCCATTGTACCTTATAAATAAATAACACCAAACCAATTCATTAAATTATTAACTAAATGATATACCATTTGAGCAGCACTTGACAATGGTTCAGATATTCACCTCTGTTACACATTTCCAATTAATCTTAATTTAAAAAGACGGATAATTGTAATCCTTCTTCCTTCTCAGCATTTTCGCTCTTGTCATTCAATCAGTCATTCGTTCAACATTCTTTCTTCTATCAGAATTCTTTACACGATTTCCAAATTTAACGTTCATTTTTAATATAGGTACGTGTTTATTAATTAATTTTTTTTTCTGTTCTCTACAAATCTTATTCCTAAAATTTTCTAAGGTGCTTTAAGGGAAAAGCTTCGGTATTTAAAAGTATTTTAAAAATAGGTATAACAGTTAAACAAATTTTAAGATCGTTTGGAGTAGTTTTGACTGATTTATATGTGTATAGAGAAAGTTAGAAAGTTAATTAACTGTTTACCTGTATCTCCCATCGCACTTGAAGCCTTTTGTCGAGAATTTCCTTGCAGTTATTTGTAGTGCTAAAGGATGTCTGGGATGTGGTTGAACTCGTCTGAAAAATTTACTATGTCAGTCTCACTTAGAAACGCACTGAATGGAATATCAGTTAAATACAATTATTTACGATAAAGAATAAATAAATAAAATATGAAAAACGTTAACATCAACCGATTTGTACGTTTGATAGACTCAGGTCGTGTGAGGATAGTCTGTGCGCACCAATTTACTAAAATATTCTTACAAATGCCTTTCCTCCGAATATTACGTTTATCATATTATGTTAATTTAGAAGTTTCAAAGTTAGAGAAAATTTTATCATCGGCATCATCATCATCATCATTATAGCCCATTACGAGTCCACTTCTGAACATAGACTTCCCCAGAATTTATTCTTATTCTATTTAGTGAGGGTCCACGCTGAAATTTGTCATCCCCGAACTCTTCATTTATCATACGAAATACAGCAGAATTTGCTGCTATTTTTTACGCACGAAATGTCATGTACATTTTGTTTTTATGTGACACTTATTTATATATAATAAAATATATATATTTATATATTCTATATTTGGGATGATTAAAGACACAAACCCTTTACGATGAGACTAAATGATATAATCGTTGTGATAGGTTGTTGACACGTTTACAAAAATTTTGATCAACATTCAAGCAAGTCAATAATCTAAACGAAACTTGACAAAGCTATCCGGAAATTTTTAAATAAACTCATGTGACACATATTGAATAAAATTATTTTGACGGATTTTATCGCGTTTAATTCTACGTTTTGGTTGCTTTCCAGAATCCGTGGTCACTGGGACTGAGGTGATGAACGTCCCGATGTCAAAGTTAACCCGGAGTACCTTCAGCATTTTAATTGTTAATTCTGTTCTAATTATAAGTAGAATTAAATGCGATAAAATCCAATTAATTTATTGAATGAACTGAAGTAAGTTTTTATTAATTAAAATTAAAATTGACATGTGGTGGCGACATAAGAAAATCCTCTATCTCATAACACTCCGTAGGTGGTTTTGAATTGGAGGCGGAAAACAAATGAAACAGTAGATGGACAGCGGCGTCTCCCTGATAATAGCTCAAAAATAATATATTGAGGTTGCTAACACGCCTGCAAAGAATGGTAAAAATTGTAAGCAAACTTTTTTAGTATAAACAACTATGTTAGTACTTACTGGGTTATACCACCAAGCAGGCTGCAATATTAATTTAAACACATTCCAAGGTACGCATGGGAAGAACATGTCGTATGTTATGTCAGTAATAATATAACATATTTAAATATAATTACATAATTAGTAAAATCATGCATTATTTTGCAGAAATCCATTACATTAAAGATGTTAAAAACTAATTTGGTAAGATTTGCGTAAATCAAAATGATGTGCCTCACCTAGTTTGAAGAGCGCCTACCGTCATCCCTCAATTACATTTTCCCCAAACTAGTTACGACAGGTCATTTTGATATTTTACTCTGCTGATCATAGATAAATAATATTTAATATCTTTAATATAATTTTACATTGATATACACTTAGTAAATAGATAATTCCTTGAGATAGTCTGTGATATTTATCACGACAAAGTTAATTTGTTAGCGTAGTTCTTATTAAAAAAAACTTTATAAGCAGATTTTAAGCGTTTTGATGAAATGAAAATCCTCATTAAACAAACTAACTTTTCTCAAACTACTATATACGTATGTAAATTTATTATTTATCGAATATATTAATCGAATAATTTATCGAATCTGTTAGCAGATCAAGATTGTAGCTTTAAACCAAATCAAATAATAGTGGACCCAAAATTGCACCTTAAGGAAACCAATATATAAATAACAAAAATATTAATAAACATTTTGATCGATTAGGTCCGTCTGAAAAGCATGAAATTGGTTAAGAAGAAGTTCTGGAAATATAATTAAAATCCTCGGTAAGCTGTTAAACTAGTGAGCAAAAAGAGGAAATAAGATCAAACGCATTATATAAGTCTTCTACACAGAAAATATCAACATTAGAACATTACGTACTCAGACCAACAAAGAAAGAAAGACGGAGTGCTGAGTACTTTTTAAATGACGCAAAAACCCAAGCCAAAACCATGCTCAACTAAGAACGCACTCATATGCATATTAATCATTTGCAACCAACAGCATGATCTTAGTGTGTTTTTAAGCGTTCAGCAATTACATTTCAAGGACTGTTAAAGAAAAAAATGAGTTAGTGCATGTCAAGAAGTTGAGCATGGTTTTGGCATCATTTGAAATGTACCCAACGTTTCAATCTTTTTTTGTTGTATTAAAATTACATTAAATAACATTATATGGGTGTGAATTAACCATTGTAATTACTTTACAAATCACATATGATATTATATGAAAATATGGAACGTATTTCGACAGGCTACTCCATTTTCACCGTGAGTTAACAGATTTTCATATATCATCTACATCCACAGCGTGCTTATGCACTTTTACATACAAAAATTTCAGCACTTACAATTTCGTGCTTTGAGTGCATTCACAACACAAATTAGAATATTAGCTAAAGAATGCCAAATTTTTAAACACTTTAACGTTTTTTTTTATAGAATAAGCGTGAGAACGAGCACAAAGACCACCTGATGGTGAGTGAATGTTCGGGCCATAGACATCTACATTTATCCTCAATTGAGAATTAAAAAGCAGATGCGTTGTCACCCCTGAGGACTACGATTGGATGCCTCGTTTCCAGTAAAGAGGGTCCCTGATAATATTTCCCTAATCTGTCATTTAATACAGTATAACAATAATAGTTAAAATATATACTAAATATTTGATGAATATTTAAGAAAATGTGTGTTATGATGGCGGTGCAAGATAATCGATCTCCCCATATCGTCCCGTGGGTGTCGCAAGAGGCAACTATGGGAAATGCCATATATTTTTTGTATTTTTTAAATGTTTTAAACCTCTACACTAAGATTTTCTCCTGTATTGTGGCAGTTTACATACATATATTTCGCAAGGACAAACAACCAGACCCGGAACAATTATTTGCAGGCCATAGAAATACTTGTTCCATGCGGGATTCGAACTCATTGCTAAGCCACTGCATCGTGGAGCCGTCATAAGAAATATTATATTATTTATTTAAACTTTTATGCACAAAAATAAAATCGTACATATAGCGTACTTAATGCCTTAAGGCATTATCTCCCAGTCAACCATTAGGCTAAACAGAGATAAACATATGGGAGGTGGTGCAGCAGAAATATACTAATAATGAAAAAGTGTTTACGAAGTTTGAATAAACCAGAATATATATAAATATATATGCCATGATAAATGAGTAACGTATGTGACGATAGAATCAATCTTAAGGGAAAAGCGTTAATCCAGACTTGCCATGTTTTACAAGTGTTCACGTTAACTTGTCCTAAGCTTTTTTAATGTCAAGAGGTATTTCGTTCCAGATTCTTATAGCTGTAAGAGCTGAAAAGTGGCACATATAAAAGTAACGGTGAAAAGGTGTAACAACTTCAGATTATCCGAAGAAAGGAGAAAATAATTATGAGAATCTCCTAGGCTTGGTATTGTAATTTAGATGTCAAGTACTCAGGATCGTTTAGAATAGTGAAAAGAGTCAGAAGATTCTAACATATCTGTGCTGACGGATAGGCAGCCAGTTAAGCTGAATACGAAAAGAAAATATATGGTCATATTTACGAAGACCATAAATGTATCTGATGCAGTTGTTGTTGAAAAGAGCCATCTTATGGCTTTCGATAGATTTTTGGATTAGCATCTCGTACATGCCAGGTGTATATTCAGTTGCTGACGCAAGCTGCGTTCGCCTGCAAGTCATGAGGCTTAAGGCAAATTTTCTACAACGGGAGAAACCCATGCCAGTGGAATTTTACAGGATGATAAAAAAGTTTTGGTCATGCAGAAAGAATGAACGAGGAAAGAGTGACAAAGCAAATCTATGTTGCAGAAGTGAACGGCAGCGTCGGCAAAGGACCGACCGAAAAGTTTATCGACCAAATTAGCGAGAAGGTGATGAGAAGATGGGCCAGGTTAAGAGTACCCTTAACCAACAAGCATGTATGCGTAGGTGTATGGATGTAAGGGAGGCGAGAGTATTTATTTTATGAATATGTTTATTTTAAGATTATTAGTGTCATTGCGAATATAATTATAGGCCATGTCAGTCTACAGCTGATTATTGGTGTACCCTTCAAAACCTGTACCGTCAACTCCGAACCCGTCTCTGCTGTGCCAATCAAACGCCATTCCACCTCTGTACGACTTTTCTCTTGATTACTCACGGTGATTTTAGTCTGTCCCAAAGCGGGCGGCACATCTAGATCCTTGGGCAAGTAGACGTGTCCGAAGTTGTGCCTGTACTCCACGCACCAGACCGCTAGCCAGTCAATGTCGTACGCGGTCATTTTACCCGGCAGCTGGATTTCGATGTCCTCGCCTTGGTAGCCGCGGAGTGGATTCAGGGAGCCCATTTCGTTGGGCACCTGCAAGGTAATATAAAAAATAGTTATTAAGTATATTACTCACAAAATTTTGCTTTTTTAAATGTAATACAAGTAGTATTTACTCCTGTATCGTGGAGGCAGTTTAAATAATTTTAAACTCTTAAACTGTACCATACATAAGGCACCTATTGAATGTTATAATAGTTTTCAAGAGTGACAACGCATCTGGGTTTGATTCTTAATCGAGGATAAATGTAGATGTATATAGACCACCAGCATCCACTTATCATCAGGTGGACTATGTGCTCGTTCGTCACCGTTATTCTATAAAACATAATGATGGGTAAGTTGTAAGACTCGTAATATTATAATTAATAAGACTCTATGCATAAAACTTTACTTATTAGTGAGGTCGAAGAGAGATGCCAGAGAGATTCTTCCTTTCCTTCTTCTTTAGTCCGTTAAAGTCTAGTGCTGGATATATACCTCTACCATTGAAGGGAAGATCTGCCATAACCATATCGCTTGGCAAGCGGTACGACAGTCCAGTACCATCCACCAGACATCTCGTACGCTTCTTGCCCTCTCAATGTTCAAAGTTCGTCAATCAACAAGTATAAAAGTTGTATTAAAGAAAAATTGTACAACAAGGGATAATTATAATATCAAGGAATACATGAATGAAAATAACCTCTGGGAATGAGGTGATTGGCACCATGCTAGTTATATTATTTTGGGAATGTTTTGGGCTATAAGCAGGGTTACCAGATCCGAAAATGAATTTTCCTGGCAAAATCTTTAACTTTTCAGTAATTTTCCTGATATTGACGCGGAGGCAGCAAAAATATCTATTGTAAAAACTCACGCATGTGCTTCAGATGTGCGCAATATCCAACAATAAACAATACGAGTCAGATCAGATGAATGGTACAATTTAATTATTTAGATTTGATTTATTATTACATTTTTTGATTAATCTTTTTAATAAGGATTTTAATAAGTATTTCTTATATTTCCTCTTTCTAATTAAAATTTCCCGACAGTTTATAAATTTCCCTGACAGAGGGAAAAAATTCCGGACATGTCAGGAAAATTTTTATAACCTTTTGTTGTCATCTGGTAACCCTAGCAATTAGTCTAAAATAAATACTCACTTTGGTCCCGAAAGGATTCGGCTCACTCCCATTCCCAACCCAGAAGTAAGCATCGGGTCCAGCACCATCGTAATGAAGGTTTGGAATATAGAATGTCTTGGCGTCGAGTACGCTGATGTTGCCGGAACGAAGCCCGTGCGCCAGGCGTTTAAATTCTGGCAACACTCGCGGTCTTGGAGGCTCGAGACCTGGATTGATGAATACGTCACCGAAGTTCACCTGGAATACAATATTTCCAACTTAGTACAGGTTTTAACTTAAAAATGGCATAGTGGTCAAAAGACCGTATGCCACAATTAAAAGGAAAAACATAACAGAAAACTTTTGGTAGTGGAGTATTTTTTATATTATAAAGGTATCCAACGAGAATACAGACCGGCTGATGGTAAGTGGATGATGTGGCCTATAGAAATCTACATCTATCGTTAATTAAGAATCAAAATGCAGATGTGTTGTCACCCCTGAGGACTAAGATGGAATGCCTCGTTTCCGGTTCTCTACAGTCACCATAAGAAGCTCAGCAGTATTAAGCTGCTATTTTATGCTTGTATTTTGTGAGAGCGTGGTCCTACCTCGATCGAGTTTTTTTTATAGAAGAGGGGGCAAACGAGCATGCGGCTCACCTGATGTTAAGTGACTACCATCGCCCATGATCAACCGCAACACAAGGGTAATTGCAGGTGCGTTGCCGGCCCTTTAGAAAGGAGTAAGCTCTTTTCTTGAAGGTCCCCAGGTCGTATCGGTCCGGAAAAATCGCCGGTGGTAAACTATTCCACAGAGAGGTTGTACGCGGAAGAAAACTCCTTTTGAAATGTACAGTGGTGGACCGCCAAGCATCCAAATGGTGTGGATGGTATCGGGACGTTTGCCGCGTAGTGCGTTCACGAAATTTGGCGGCTGGGATTAATCCGAACAATTCCTCAGAGCACTCTCCATGGTATCATCATTCATCATCATCATTACAGCCCTTCACAAGTCCACTGCTGAACATAGGCCTCCCCCAAGTAATGCCACAAAGCACGGTCCTGAGCCACCTGCATCCATCGACTTCCTGCATATCTTACCAGGTCGTCACTCCATCTAGTGGGGGGTCGCCCTACACTACGCCTACCGGTACGAGGCTGCCACTCGAGAACCTTTCTTCCCCATCGGTTATCGGTTCTTCGAGCTATATGGCCGGCCCATTGCCACTTCAGCTTACTAATCCGTTGGGCTATGTCGGTCAATCTGGTTTTACTGCGGATATCCTCATTTCTGAGTCTATCACGCAGAGAAACTCCGAGCATAGCCCTCTCCATAGCTCGCTGAGCGACCTTGAGCGTCCTCATACGGCCAGCAGTGAAGGACCACGTCTCTGATCCGTAAGTCATCACTGGCAACACGCACTGGTTGTACACTTTAGTTTTCAGAGATTGAGGTATACCTGACGAGAAGATATGTCGTAATTTCCCGAACGCTGCCCAGCCGAGTTGAATCCGTCGATTGACCTCTCGGTCGAAGTTGGACTTACCTAGTCGGACCATTTGTCCCAGGTAAACGTACTCGTCAACAACTTCGAGCATAGTGCTCCCAACAACTACCGGCATAGGTGTGACATGGACATTAAACATAATCTTTGTTTTGTCCATGTTCATCTTAAGACCTATCCGTTGGGAGGCACTATTGAGGTCATTGAGCATAGTGCTTAAGTCCTCCAGCGATTCTGCCATAAGGACTATATCGTCGGCAAATCGAAGGTGAGTGATGTACTCGCCATTGATGTTAATACCGTATCCTTTCCAGTCCAGTAGCTTGAAAACGTCTTCCAAAGCAGCGGTGAAGAGTTTCGGGGATATAACGTCACCCTGTCTTACACCTCTCTGCAGTTGGATAGGTTTCGAGCTCTGGTTCTGTACTCGGATAGCCATCGTAGCCCTACTGTACAAACACTTCAGCACTTCAATATACCGACAGTCAACTTGGCACCGCTGAAGGGACTGCAGCACCGCCCAAATTTCGACGGAATCAAAGGCTTTCTCATAGTCCACATACGCCAGGCAAAGTGGCAAATTGTACTCTTCAGTCTTCTGTACAATCTGCCGCAGGGTATGTATGTGGTCTATGGTACTGAAGCCTTTTCGGAAACCGGCTTGTTCGGGAGGCTGGAAGTCGTCGAGTCTGCGTGCGAGACGATTCGTAATGACTCTCGAAAACAGCACGTAGACGCGGCTCAGAAGGGAAATCGGTCTGTAGTTCTTCAAGAGAGCGTTGTCGCCTTTCTTAAAGAACAAGACCACCGCACTTCTGCTCCACGCCTCTGGAGTAGTGCCACCATGGAGGACGGAATTGAAGAGCTTCTGAAGGACTTCAAGTACCGGTGTTCCACCCGCTTTCAGAAGCTCCGCTGTAATTCCATCCTCGCCTGGGGCCCTGCCGTTTTTAAGGTGCTGGAGAGCCATTCTAATCTCGCTTAGACTGACGTCCGGGATATCATCGGAATAGTGTCGGATAAGACTTGCTCTTGGATCGTTACTCACACTTGCGTGTGGCTCCAACGATGATGTGTACAGCTGCCCATAGAACCTCTCAATCTCACTCAAAATCTCAGGTGTCCCGGAAACGATGCTGCCACACTCAGTCTTCAGCCTTGACAGTTGGCTCTTTCTGGCAGATAGATCTCTGGCAAAGACTTTGGAGCCCTGGTTCCGCTCGATCGCTTCTTTAATACGAGCAGTATTAAAGTTGCGCAAGTCTCGCCGCATGCATTTGGAGATCTGTCTGTTCAGTTGCCTGTATGCTGTCAAATCTGTTGACGATTGCAGCCTCATCTCCCGTCTAACAGCCATGAGATTAAGAGTGTGATCGGAGAGTTTTTGTGTTCTTCTGCGGCGGGTCTTGCAGAACTTAGCTCCGACCGCATGGACAGTTTCCACGAGCTTGTCATTCATATCGTCCACTGCATTGCAATCTTGTAGGCACTGAAAGCGGTTGTGTAACTCGAGCTGAAAGTTTTCGGGATTTTGGATCAGAGCACGAGGGGGACGGAGCGTTGACTTCATTAGACGAGACCTCTCCAACTTAACGTTTAGGTTCAGTGTGCCTCTAACCATTCGGTGATCGCTGCCAGTTTTCACCCTTGCGATCACTGAGACATCACTGAACAGTTGGCGTCTGGTCGTCATAATGAAGTCAATCTCATTTTTTGTCGAACCGTCGGGGCTCGACCAGGTCCACTTCCTGTGGGGCCGCTTCTGGAAGAAAGAGTTCATCATAAAGAGTCCCTCTTTCTCCATAAAGTCGGCCAGCTGCTGGCCCCTTCGGTTCCGTTGCCCTACTCCAAATTTCCCTAACTTCAGCTCACCGCTTTCTCTTGTGCCTAGTTTTGCGTTGAAGTCTCCCATCAACACCGTGTAGTGGGTTTTGGAGGAATGTATGGCTTTGGAAATATCCTCATACATTTCCTCCACCTCCTCATCGGAATGTGCCGACGTTGGTGCGTAAACCTGTATGACCTTCAGCGAATACCGTTTGGTGATTCTGAGTATCAGGTACGCGACCCTCGTCGACACACTCTCAATCTGTACAACGTTGTTGACGAGAGACTTGTGGACGATAAATCCGACACCTCCTTGGGACAGATGGTCGCCCTCCCGGTGATAGAACAAGTTGCCGGATTCGAGAATCACCGTGTCCTCCCCCTCTCTTCGGACCTCGGATAATCCTATAATACTCCAGCGCAACTTGTCTATCTCTTCTTCCAGCTCCAGGATCTTCTCGTCAGTCCTCAGTGTGCGTGCGTTAAATGTTGCCAGGTCGAGTCGTCGTAGGTGGCAACCGAACCTCCACCGGAGATTCTTAGCACCCCCTGCCCCGCCGTTACCATGGTCGCCACCGTAGCCAGGAATAGCGGGGCCGCCGGGGACTGGGGGCCGTCTATTTGTGTAATTGTTCATGGGGGGTATATTGCCATAGTTGCCACGCTTGGCGAGCGGGTTGGCAACCGCAGTTTTTTTTTTTGTCGTACAGTTGCTGTTATCAGGAAGATGCTGCTGCCCATCTCCTGCCTGTCTCCCTCTGTCGCCTCTTACGACACCCACGGGAAGATATGGGGTAGTGGATATTCTTAACCGCCACTAACCGCTACTCCATGGTATATGCGAAAGAAAATGCAAAGGGATGGCACATCTCTTCGCAGTGCCAGTGAATCGAGCCGATCGGAAAGCACTCGGTCGTCGACGATTCGAGCCGCTCTACGCTGGATGCGGTCAAGTGGAAGGAGCTGGTACTGGGGAGCTCCAGTCCAGAGATTGGAACAGTAATCCATGTGTGGCCGAACCTGCGCCTTGTAAAGTTGCAGGCGGTGTGCCGGCATATACAAATGCAAATACTGTTCCACTCTGCTGAGCACGCCAAGCTTTTTAGAGGCCAATTTGGCCTTCCCTTCCAAGTGACCACGAAACTGCACGTCACTCGATATATCGACGCCGAGGATTCCGATACTGGCTGAGGCAACAAGGGGAGTGCCTTGAAACTGAGGGGATACGACAAAGGGGTTCTTTTTAGCGGTTAACGCGCAAACTTGTGTCTTCTGGGGGTTAAACTGGACTAGATTTAGTCGCCCCCAATCCGAGACTGTTCAGCAATGACTCGACTTCAGACACAAGTTTGTCCCGGCACTCGGAGACGTTTTCCCGAGAAATATTGGCTCGACCGGTGTAAAGAGCATCACCAGTGCTGTCATCTGCATAGCAATGAATGTTACGGGTTTGCAACATATCATTGATATGCAGAAGAAACAGCTTTGGCGATAGCACGCAGCCCTGTGGAACACCAGCATTAATAGGCTTGCAATCGGAGCTTGCACCGTCTACAACAACCTTGATGCTCCGATCTGCAAGAAAGCTGCCGATCCAATCGCACAATTTCTCGGGAAGCCCATAGGAAGGGAGCTTCGAAAGAAGCACTTTGTGCCAAACCCGATCGAAGGCCTTCGCAATATCAGCGCAATGACGGCCAATGCCTCCCCCTTGGACTCTACTACCTCCGCCCATCTGTGAGTTAGGTAGACCAGAAGATCACCAGCTGACCGACCACGGCGAAAACCGTATTGGCGGTCACAAATCAGCTGGTGATCCTCAAGGTACCTCATGAGCTGGCAGTTTACAATGGACTCCATTGTTTTGGAGAACAAGGAGGTGATGGCGACAGGCCGGTAGTTGGATGGGTCAAGCGGTCGCCTTTTTTAGGGATCGGGTGGATGAAAGCCGTCTTCCATGATTTTGGGACTATGCCTAGGGAGTAGGAGTACCGGAAAATACGCGTTAAAACCGGTGCCAACTCTGGAGCACACGTCCTCAGCACAATTGGGGGGATTCCGTCAGGCCCACTCGACTTGTGGATGTCCAGGGAGAGGAGTGCTTTGCGAACAGAGCGCTGTGTGAACTGCACGGGATGGTCGGCGGCGTACTCCCCCCGTCATCGAGAGTCGAGTTAGACGCAAAGAAAGAGCCTAGAAGATCGGCTTTCTCCTTTGCGGTATGAGCCAGTGAGTCGTCCTCCCTGTGCAGAGATGGAAGAGATGGCTGACAGAAATTCCCCTGGACAGCCTTGGCGAGAGACCAGAATGCACAATAAGTTGACCTATTCGTGCTACAACCATAATACAACGGTCACCTATCGGAATCATAACCGGCATTTTTCTCTTACGCCACAATATGGCAAAGGCCTCAACATAATTTCATAGTAAAAGTACTTTTTAAATCTCTGTAAATAAATATTAATTGCATGTATAAAAGATCATCACGAGAACGGCTGGACCGATTTTGATGAAAATTTTTGTGTACGTTTGAGTCCCTGGATCTACATCCGGTAAAGCAAAAGCATAAATGAGTCGGTAAATGATCAGCAAAATGGCATACATGAAGTTTTACTAGGGTTGCCATCCGTACTATAATATCTATATTATTAAAAAATAACATAGTAGAAAATATATTATACTTTTGTCCTTAAATCAACGGTCGCTTTTTTTATACGCTCGGTTTTTTATACTTACTGTGATTGGAAGTCTGAAAACAATTAAGTTTTACGGAAAAAAATTTTTAATCGTCATGAACGTAAAATTGAAAGAAGAAATAAGTACAGCATAAATTTTATTAAAAACTAATTGTTACTTTATTTTATTATGAATCTAAATTGCTCAGACTTCTATAATTATTTTAAAGGTGATAGTTGACGGCCAAAGTAAAGAGTAATATAAATATATATGGCATATATATTTACCTATATACTCTTTTTATACATAAAGATTAAAAATCAACGTGTAGTTTTTTCTCATGAATTTTTCAAAAGTTCTATATTTTTGCATTTTTTGAGAAAAATACTATATTTGTTCAAAAACCCTACGTTTGACAAACATTTGGCGATCATTTTGGCGGGAAGCGCAAGTCATGCGCGCGCATATCAATCGATTGTATTTAGCAGCTGTTACTCGTAACCATTGATACGGCTCGATTCAAACTTTAACCTTAATTACATTTTAATCGTAGCGTAATTAATTGTAAAATAGGTCTCTTTGATAACCAATATGCCTACACTGTAGTGTTCTATTTGTAATTTGACGCCTATTCCCTTGTAATATATATTTAGTATACTGTGCTCATATTTATGTTGTTCATCTATCTCTCTCACTCTCTGTCTCTCTCGCTCTCTCTTCCTGGCTACGAATTATGTAAACCGCATGGTGGTGGCACAGCTTTTACTCAGTTCCCTTCCGTTTACATGCATAGTTTCAGTTCGACTGCTGTTAGATATTCTTTTACTTCTTCTTCAGTACGTTAAAGCCCACTGTTGGACATGGGCCTCCCCCCCTTGCAGGGAGGATTAATCCTAATCGTCACGCTTGTCATGCAAATTCATAAATATACTAGCGGTCCGCACCGGCTCCGTACTTGTGCCCGCTCGATGTCGACAACAGCGCCATCTACCGGGTGCAATTGCAAATCTAAACGATATAGGGATACCCACTCAAATACACACAAAAAAATAATAGTAACGCTACGCTTGGCAGAGGCGTTGTTGAACGCAGTTTTTACTATTTAAGCTTTTAAAATGATGCTCTATCTCCTGTGTCAGTTTCCCTCTGTCGCCACTTACAAAATCTATAAAGATGTGACATTTGTCACGCTTCTTTGAATTAACCAATATGGCAGCAAAAATCACTTTATAGTTTTTGAAATTGAACGTTTTTCGATTGAGCCCTTCAGTTTTTTACATCTCACTCGATGTTACGCGAGCGAAACTGTTTTACATATAATATAATAGAATAAGGGTGATAAATGAACAGTTCTATCCCCGATTTGGGATCAATTTTTTATTTTTCATTTTTGTAGAATAGAGTGCCAAACGAGCACACGGTCCACATGATGTTAAGTGGTTGATGGGACCTATCGATATCTACATTTATTCTTGATTATGAATCAAGATGCAGATGCGTTGTCACCCTTGAGGACTAAGATGGAATGCCTCGTTTCCAGTAAAAAGGGTCTCCGGTTCTCTACACTCACCATACGAAATACACCAGCATTGAGCTGCTATTTTACGTGCTACTACTCCGGTCGAGTCCACCCATTCGTGCTACAACTATATTATAGTTGCAGCGTGGCTCTACCACGTAAAGTGCAAATTGTCACTCCTGAGGAATTAGATAGGATGTCTACAATTCTCTACACTCACCATAAGAAAAATAGCAGCAGTAAGCTGCTGTTTTACATTGGTATTAGTGTAAGTTGAATAAAATTCAAATAGCTCTAACTATTTGTTAAAATGGAATAAAATTTCGAATTTAATCAGTGTTTCACAGGAAAATAATCACGCACGAAAACATAAAAAGCAGATAAGTTTTAACCTACAGGGACATTCGTTTTACATTTCCAGCGGGACTGTAATTAATGAGAACTAGTGTAAGCTGCACGCCCCCTTCCCCCTCCTACCGTATTTTTATAATTACACACCCGTGTAACATTACAACGCTGAAGGCGGCCATGTTTGGTAGTTATTTTAAGATAATGAAATTTATATGTTGCTTTATATGTTTTACAATTTATGTTTCAACGTTTATTTTATACTGCCTCGTTGGTCTAGTGGTGGTAAACACGATTGCTGGTCTTAGGTTCCGGGTTCGATCCTTGGGTCGGGCCAAAATAAGTTATTCAGTTTTTTTGTCTAGAAATTCAGTGAAAGCCCGGAGTCAGAAAGTTGGTGGTGTACGCCTGATCTTTCTCTCTGGTCACGTTGCCGTTCCATCGGACTATGAGAGTGAGGTAGTGAGGAAATGTAGAGTGCAACTGTGCTTGCGCTTACACTCGGGCACAATAATCCTGTGCTGTGCTGATGGCTAGTCTCCATTGAGACTGGCCGCCGTGACTGAAACTCGCTCTAGATGACATTTTTATAAGGTACGTGAGGGCAACATGGTACCTTAAGTTTTGCTGTCCTATAAAACTAAAACTAGGAGGATGACAGAGACAAAAACACAAAGTCGTATACTATAACTAATATATTAAGAAAAAATAGCAAATAAGCTTTGGAAATAATTAGGACACTTCGAAAAATCTTTTTAAAAACTAACTATACTACACCATACTTAAATAGACTAAAATATTTACTATAATATGAACTGTCAAAATGGCGTCGATAAAGGATCGGCATTTTCACCCTTTATTATTTGATTGACCCATGAAGAGCTATCGTATCACAAAGCCATCTATACAAACAAGGCTGTAGTTTTTGAGTTATAAGAAAGTGACCATATTACCCTCACGTACTATATTTTATTTGATACCCACGGGATAAAATGGGTTGTTTATTTTTTTAACGTCACAAGTTGATTAAAAATAAAAATAAATATATAGTGCACACGTAGTGCAGTTTACACGCGGTAGAAGTGAAACATTCAGAAAAATGCGAATAAAGCGCAATCTACTTCTTTTTAAAGGTAAAGTTATTTTAATCAACTTCAATAGGTAGTCAATTCAACTGTATTTTTTTAATTGTATGAGTTCAGAACTTTTCTAGGTGAACCGATTTTGATGATTATTTTTTTAATTCAAAGCTGGTGCTTTTCATGTGGTCAAATATAAATTTGATCAAGATTTTGTCCAGTAGATTTTGAGTTATCCTTAATATTTCGTATTTAATTGACTTTGATTACATTGATGATGTTACTTACAAAATCGTATCAAACAAAAGTTGATGGACTCTTAAGGTCGTACGTAAAATAGACGCTAGATGGCCTAAGTATGAATACTTTAAAATAAATCGGTAAGTTATGAAATCGTGGATTGATATGAATGGATTGGTTTTGATAATATTATTGAATGTGGTTAATTTTATTTATTTAATAAATTTGTTATTTTTAACGGTTTATTTTAACATTTAAAAGTTATATTAGCCATATTTAAAGCACCTAACAAAGAGCGAACAAAAATTGATAGGCTCTCAATGTGGTACGTTAAATAGACGCTAGATGGCCTAAGGATGAATACTTTAATATAAATCGGTAAGTTATGAAATCGTGGATTGTTATAAATGGATTGAATTTAATAATATTACTCAATATGGTTAATTTTATTTATTTAATAATTTCGTAATTTTTAACTGTGTATTTTAACACTTAAAAATACACAGTTAAACAGATACAAATCCATACAAACAGAAGACCAAGATAATACGAAACATTGTATACAGTTTTCTATCTCATTCTCTCGCAGGCTAGATGTATATATTTGTCTCTTTTTAGTGTCGCTTTTTCGTTTCATCGACTTTCAAATCACAACGATTCTAAAGAAGTTTTCATTTCAAAAAACTTACAGTGAATCTGCGGCACCATACACTGATCCACTTGATGTCTCGCAGTCTCTTGCCGGCAGGGAGTCGCAGCAGGATGTCCGAGTTGTTATGCCTTGAGAGGATTGGCGGGTCCCTGGAACAGAGGTCAAATTGTTAGTGTATAGTCAAGCAATAAGTAGCAAACAAGGTGGTCAAGTATTTTAAAACACCCAAAGTCCTCACAAACATACAACCATCATGGCCAAATAATTGGGAATATTAATCTCGCTCAAATATATCGGATAAAATAATTTATTCTTGTGTTATATAATGATTTCTTATATTTACGCGAACACTATACATTGATTAAACTACTTTTAGGGATTTTATCGCGTTTTATTTATATTAATTTTAATACCCGACGTTTCGGGTGCTTTCCAGCACCCATGGTCACGGGGACTGAGGTGACTGACGTCCCGATGTCAAAGTTAACCCGGAGTACCTTCAGCTTTTTAATTATTGTCTTTGGACCGATCTACGCAGAATGAACTAACTGTATTTTGAAGTCTTGCAGTGGTATGCTTGGGTTTAGTTTTAATTTTATTAATTATAGGATCCCAAGCAGGTGGTAGTACCCAGCCTCCTTCTCTATTGAAATTAGGATGTTTTTTAATTTCAATAGCCTCACGTATCATCCTTGGTAGGAATCGATGTTCTTTCGCGAGGATTTGTGGTCTATCAAATCTGATGTAATGGTTGGGGCCATCTAGAATATGATCGCAAACTGCAGACTTCCCGGAACGTTGATGCTTCACGTCAGCTATGTGTTCTTTTACGCGGGTTCTAACTGATCTCTTTGTTTGCCCTATATTCTTATTCTTGTGTTGACAAGGAGACAATTAGGCTATTTGAACACCTCAGTGAAGCCTCTGATGTGCTTTTGAATCGGTACTCTACTGCACAGTTGGTTTTTATGGGGGCTTTAATGCCTGTTATCAGAGCTGGTTGTTCCCATACCAGAAGACCGACTACGCTGGGAGAGAGTCGTGAAATTTTGTCACGTCGCTGGGGCTCTCCCATCTGGTACACAGCCAACTGCCTCGATCTTCTGCTGACGACCGGTTCGAGCAGGTACACTGTTAAAGTTACCTCACTCTTGGCTACTTCTGACCACTATCTGGTGAAATCTGTGTCGGTATATTCCCCACTTAACTACGATTGACAAGGTATGTGGTGAATGTGGTGATACAAGTCAGCAGATAATGGGATAAGATACGGCATTTATTTGCAGCTTATCCTTGACGGCAGATCTGCTTCTCGTCTGAATATCCGTTGAGCTATGCTGTTTGAAGTTGTTAGTGTTGTAAGTAATGACATCCTCATCCTCATTACTTACAACACTTACAACGTCAAATGTATGAAATCATTTAAACCGTTCAAAATGATACTAACAAACAGAAAGCCAAAAATTTCACTTTAGGGATATAAATAACATACCGATTTCATAGGGTTGACATTTAAATGATTTTAAAATCCAATTCGTGCACTTAGTCAATATCAACAAAATAATTGTAATTTGCTTTTGAAATGATGATATAATAGTCTCAACGGCATCATCATTACAGCCCTTCACAATTCCACTGCTGAACGTAACGTGACTGGGAGAGAATGCCTAATGGCAGTGGTGCAATAACGGCCAAACAACTTTTTCATATTATTCTAAGTCAGCGTTTAACTATAATCCCACCCGATGGTAAGTGGTGATTTAGCCTAAGATGGTGAAGCACACTGACTTTACAAAAGCCTATTCACTCTTGCCTTGAAGACAGCTACATTGTAATCTAATGAAACACAGCCACTGGCAACTTATTCCACTCCGTTGCTGTACCTATGATAAACGATGTATCTAACTGTTTGTTCGAATGTATAGTAAGTCAACAACGAAACGGTGCCGAAAGCCAGGTTGTCCGATGGTGGAAGGGAGAGGGAGGAATTAAATTATGCAATTCCTGAGCACACGAAATGCATCCTGTGGAAAACTGATAGGCTGGCTACTTTGCGCCTGCGTTCGAGGCTGGTAAGATTGGTTTTAATGAAATTTGGATCACCAATAAGCTCTTAGCACGCTTTCCATTGAGTCCAAAGCTGATAGATGACTTTTGCAGCACCAGCCATATATGACAGTAATACTCCATGCACGACAGGACTTGCGCTTTATAGAAAGAAAGAGCCAAGATGAGCTGGCTCGTTTTTGGCTGGCTAACTTCAGCTTACAAATCAGTTGGGCTATGTCAGTTACTCTTGTTCTATTGCGGATATCCTAATTTCTAAGTTTATCACGCAGAGAAACCCTAACCATAATACTCCCCATAGCTCACTGGTCGACCTTGAGCTTTCTCTTACGGCCGGGGGTGGAGGGCTACATCTCAGATCCATAAGTCATCACTGGCAACACGCACTGGTTGTACAATCTCGTTTTCGAGTTTTGAGGTATACTTGACGAGAAGATCGGTCGTAATTTCCCGAACGCAGCCCAGCCGAGTGGAATCCGTCGATTGACCTCTAGGTCGAAGTTAGACTTACCTAGTTGGACTATTTGTCCCAGGTAAACATACTCGTCAACAACTTCAAGTTTAATACTCCCATCTACCGTAACAAGGACTTGGATTGGATTGGATGGGAATGTTTTGTCCACGTTCATCTTACGATTTATCCATTGGGATGCAGTATTGAGGTCACTGAGCATAGTGTTTAAATCGTCCAGCGAGTCTGCTATAAGGACTATATCCTCGGCAAATCGAAGGTGAGTGATGTATAACCCTCGTCGACATGTGAGTGTGCAACATCATTACAACGTTGTTAATGAGAGACTTGTGGAAGATTAATGCAACACGTCCTTGGGACATATGGTCACCCTCCCGATGATAAAACAAGTTGTCGGATTCGAGGGTTACCGTGTCCTTTCTCTTTTTTTCGGACCTCAGATAATCCTATAATATCCCAGCGCAACTTGTCTATCTCTTCTTCCAGCTCCAGAATCATCTCGTCAGTCCTTAGAGTGTGTGCTTTAAATGTTGCCAGGTCGAGTGGTCTTAGGTGGCAAACAAACCTCCACTGGAGATCCTTTGCACCTCCTGCCTCGCCGTTATAATGGATGCCACCGTAGCCAGGAATAGCTAGGTCGCCGGGGTTGTTAATTTTTTTCGTTGCTGTTATCAAAAAGATGCTGCTGCTCATCACCTGCCTGTTTCCCTTTGTCACCTCTTACAACACCTACGGGAAGATGGATATTCTTAGCTGCCACTACACGGCAATATTATACTATATTTAATTAAACTGGTTAAATACAAATGAGCGTTCCCCAGGGTTTTATTCTCGGACCATTCTTATAGTTATAACTCCTACTTTTGCAAGTCATGAGATCTTTTGGAAATAGGCCATTGTCACCTGTACGACCGACACCCTCGCGAAATGGGGTGATTTATTCTCTTAGGTCGCCACCTGCCTCCTTTTACTTTTTGTCTTAAATGAGAAGCAATCGTTTTAAAACAAATTCTAACGTAGGTGCCAGTTGTTTCGCATCTCGAGATATATATTCGTGTTTTCCTAAAAACTCTGCTCAAATTACAAAGAGGGGACACCCTCTTAAATTATTTTTAATTTCTCTTCGCTCTTGAATTTACAAAACAAAAGGACTTGACTAAAGAAAAATTTTTCTGCGTTTATTTTTGTTTTATTACCTATATTTAAAAATAGACGGTAAATGGATGTTATAACACATAGTCTTCGATAAGAAATCGAAATGCAAATACGTTTTCATCCCTGAGGACTATGATGGAATGCCTGCTTATAAAAAACATTTTCGTTTCTGGTCCGATCTGATGGATATTTTAGAAAGCCTGTATAATTACAGGTTACGAAACCTTCCATCTTAGTCATAGTGATAACACTTTTGTCACTATTTTCATTTAACATCAGTTGTAGGTTTCCATGGGCTGCAATCAAAGAATACTATAATACATAAATAACAGAACGGGGGAGTGGGTGAAGCCCGCGTAGCCACTAAAATGTCACTAACACGTCAATTCACACGTATAAATGCAACACGAGATGTGTTTTGACGTTACAATCGTTTCCAAATTTCGCATGCAAATTATTTAGAAAATGCTAAATTGCACCCCATTTACAAATAAATATGTATTCAAAATTTAATGATGATCTTGAACATTAATCAAAACTCTGAAATAAGTAAATTTACTCAGTCTCTCAACACAGCGAATCGGGTTTGGCGACGCCAATCCTCGTATAAAATAAAGTTGACAGCTATTCTATTGTGTATTATAGTATTTTATGGTTGCAATAGTTATTAACTATCATGTAGACTTTAAAGTTGATGGCTACGTGGCGCAGTGGCTGAGCAATGAGTTTCAGCGGGTTCGAATCCCGCAAAGAACGAGTACTTTTATGGTCTACAAATAATTGTTCCGAGAAAATCCTTGTGTGGATATAACGTTTTCTATAACAAGAAAGAAAACCCAGAAGGAAAGTTCGTTTGTCATTTACATTTAATATTTTTTTATAACCGATTCACTGCTAAGAAATGAATATTGTAGTGAGACCAAAAAATAACTTTTCAAACTAGGTAAATCACATCATATTATTTTATTACGCAGATCTTATGTGATAGGTAAATTTTTTACATTTTTAATAAAGACGAAATATATATAGTATAGCTCGCGTACCGGCTCGAATAGTCCTCAGGATAAGGTACGAGGGTACCTTCCGGCGACGGCTGGGGCGTGTCTCCCACCCAGAAGTACGCGTCTGGTCCCGTGCCATCGTACGCGAATTCGCGGACGAATATTGTGTTCTCATCCACAGCGTAAACCGTGCCGCGGATTCCATGAGCGTACTGGGTCAGGCGTCCGATTAGACGTCCGTAGTAGGGCTCCGGACGCCTCGACAGCGCCAAGTCTATAAACAAAAGAAAAACGGGGTTAAAATTTGTTAGTGTTTAGTTTTTTTTTTAAATAGAATAAGGGTCACAAACGAGCGCACAGTCCACCTGATGGTAAGTGGACGCTGTGACCCATAGAAATCTACATCTATCCTCAGCTAAGAAGCAAAATGCAGATGTGTTGTCACCCTTAAGGACTAAGATCGACTGCCTCGTTTCCAGTAAAAAGGGGCTTCGGTTCTCTACACTCACCATTCGAAACACATCTATTACACTTTTTTATGTTGGTATTTTTTGAACATAGTGCTTAGGTCCTCCAGCGATTCTGCCATAAACTATATCGTCGGCAAATCGGAGGTGGGTGATGTATTCTCCAATGACGTAAATACCGTATCCTTTCCAGTCAAGTAGCTTGAAAACTCCTTCCAATGCAGCGGTGAAGAGTTTTGGTGATATTACATTACCCTGGCTTACACCTATCTGCAGAAGGATGGGTTTCGTACTCTGGTTCTGTACTCGGATAGCCATCGTATACTTACTGTACAAACACTTCAGTACTTCCATATACCGACTGTCAACTTGGCACCGCTGGAGGAACTGCAGCACCGCCCAAATGTCGACGGATTAGAAGTGGCAATGGGCCGGCCATATAGCTCGAAGAACCAATAACCGATGGAGAAGAAAGGTTCTCGAGTGGCAGCCTCGTATCGGCAGGTGAAGTGTAGAGCGTCCCCGTACTAGATGGAGTGACGACCTGGTAAGACACGCAGGAAATCGATGGATGCAGGTGGCTCAGGACCGTACTTTGTGGCATTCCTTGGGGAAGGCCTGTGTTCAGCAGTAGACTTGCGAAGGGCTGTAATGATGATGATGATGACCCTGTAAGAGCGTAGTCCTACCCAGGTCGGGCTGACCCATTCGTGCTAAAGGCATTTATAGCTGCAGCGTGGCTCTACCACGTATAAAAACCACGTATCATTCGGATCAAAAGCCACGTAAAAGACTCTTCTTCAAAACGTATTTGTGTTTACATTCACAGACTATCCACACAAGAGATAGAAATGTAATACAAAGTAGACTGCGCTCACACAAAGATAGGCAGTGTGCTCACTACTGTCTCGTTATATCGCGTATTTACTCGCCTTTAAGTAGGTTGTGTAATGCATCGTTTAAGGTATGAGAACGATATTCAGCTGTAGCAAATTGCACTGAATATATTTGTGAAATATAATATATTTTTAAAGTATGTATGATTTGTATTTATATTTAAATGAACCAAATATAAATACAAAGCATTCTTAATATTTATTCAACATACTACTTACTTATTATATTATTTATATAGTTATTGTATTATTTATTACTATATAGTCAAATAAATAAGATGGAATGCCTCGTAAAAATGTCTCCAGTTCTCGATATTCACTATGGTGAGAGCTAAAACCATAGTATGGCTCTACCACGTTAAGTATAATTTTTTTAAATTTAATTTACGGATATTAACTATATATTATGTGGCGGTGATATAAATAAATAAAACGCTCTAAGAAAGTGAAATTATACCAGTAACTACTGAAAGTTATGACTTTTGTGATAAATATAATTTATCTTCAGCTTCAATGTATCAAGTGCTCTTGGAATATAATTTTTTTTCAGCTGTCCCGTGTACTAAATAAGTTCATTGACATTGTCTAACTATTGTGTTTGAAAATAGGACGTTGAAAGTATTAATATAGATTACAATTAATTCATATTGAACATCGTTTTTTTACTTTCAAACAAGTGTGTCGAAACACAGCGCTGCTACAGTGAAACCTGATTAACTAGGATCTCAAGGGACCTAGAATTTTTTACCACTTATAGAGGCTTTTCATTTACCCAGGTTTACAAATAGACAGGTGTCACATGACAGTTGTCTTATTTATACAAGGTCTTACTATGAAAGGTCGAAATGTACCATTTATCATAAAAAGATGTGGAAACAATTTTCTACTATCATAATCCAATAAAAACTAATTTATCAGCGGTTGTTAGAGAATTACACTTTCTCTTCGATATTATTTGTATTTGTTTATTGTACATACCCTTAGATAAACAAAGCAAGTATAGAAGAAATTAGTAAATTATAAAAAAATTGTCATAACTTCTCTAAATCTGATAAATTGTTTCACTTGTAGAATTAGGGGTTATTGAGTTAAAAAGTAGAAGTAAACATCCAAAAACAATATGAAATCCAATCTCAGTTAACAAAATTTGAAAATTCCCAGTAACAGAGGTATTTCAAAGCAAAAATGTCAGGATCTCATTATTATTATCAATAACATAGGTTTCTCGCATATCCAGGGCACACATAACTAGGTATCACCGAATTTAACGCTGGTATTCTATGAGAGCGTAGAGCCGAACCATTCGTGTTTACAATCATAATAAAGCTGCAGCATGACTCAACCATGTAAAACGTTGTTTCTTTTTAATAAAACTAGCAAGTAAAAGTATCTATACACTCAAGTATGGGTATTTTGTATAGTTTTACCCATAGGTGTAAGTATATTCAAACGCACACAAAATATTTCTTAAAAACGGCAGAAGCGTTAGGAGGATTTTAGTGACAAACATATGTACAGAAGAATTACAATAGGTCTTTATTTGTCTTTGTCTGCAGTACTGGCCATTTTAAACCAAAATATGTTTTGTTCGGCTGAGAATTTTAATTTAAAAATAACTTTGTTTTAAAAATATGATGATGGATGGATGGATACGTTAAAATTGGAGTATATATGGAATCTGAGTACCGTCGTAGCAGCAACGCAGCACGCAACGTCAACGATGTTACCGGAGCGAATACTACACCACCTATTATTTGTTTGCCCGCTTCCGTTCTGGAAATTTCGACCTGAAAAATGAACCCCGTGGTCGTCCGAAAACTTTGACCGACAATGACGCATTAACGGCGAGTGAATTAGCAGCAGCTTGGGACGTTAGCATCAATACAATATTGCTCCATTTGCGTCAAATTTACAAGGTAAAAAAGCTTGACAAATGCGTGCTCCAAGAACTCTAGGACCGCCATCGCAGATTACGCGTCGAGACGTGTTTTGCACTGCTCAACAGCCACCAAAACGAAGGAATTTTGAACCGCATTGTTACCTGCGTCAAAAAGATTCTATTTGACCATTGGAACTGCTCAGCAAGTTGGTTGGATCCTCGTTCAACACCTAAACAATGCCTTAAACGAAAAGAAACGTGATGATCACTGTTTGGTGGTCTAGCGCCGGTGTGATTCATCACAGCTTCTTATGAAACGGGATTAGTATTACTACAAATGTGTTCTTTGAAGACCTGAACACAATGATGGAGAAGATCACACGTCTCCAAATAGCTTTGGTTCCCGCTGCTCCTGCACGACAACACGCGGTCTCATACTGCACAACAGACAGTCTCCAAGTTACAAGAGCTGTGGTTGAAAGCTCTCCGTCATCCGCTGTACTCAACAGATCTTGCGCCTACAGTCTTCAATTTTGTCCAGAATTTGGATAACTTTTTGGTGGGAAAAAAACTCAATACCCGAGAGGCAGTACAAAATGCTTTTGAAGAATTTGTTGCCCCCATCCAGTTGATTTCTTCAAGAAGGGCATAAATAAATTGCCACTGCGTTTGTAAAGATGCATCGACTGCATGGATGATTACTTTGGTGAATAGGAATAAAAAATATAGAAAAATAAAAATATACGTTAATTTATTGAAATAATTAACTTAGCTAACTTAATAAGCTTAATTTTGATATCCGACGTTTCGGGTACTTTCCAGCGCCCATGGTCACGGGGTTATGTATACTGTAATCTATGGTCACGGGGGACTCAGGAGATTGACGTACCGATGTTAACTCGGAGTTAATTCGGAGTACCTTCAGCTTTTTAATTATTACATTGGGTCCGATCTAAGCAAAATGAACTGACTGTATCTCGAAGTCTTGCAGTGGGTTAGGTTTAGTTTTAATTTTATTAATTATAGGATCCCAAGGAGGTGTTAGTCTGCATTTTGAGATCATATCCTAAACGGCCCCCGCCATTATATCAGATTTGATAGACCACTAAACCTCGCGAAAGAACATCGCCTGCCAAGGACGATACATGAGGCTATCGAAATTAAAAAAAAACATCACAACTTCCATAGAGAAGGAGGCTGGGTACTAAGTCTGGGTAAAATTCAATGTGTAGTGTTCGCGTTAATATAAGAAATCATTACGTTAATTTATTTCATAAATAACGACAATTTCATTGGTAAAGACCTTATATAAAAATAGGCTCAAATATGGAATCATTTACATTATCCTATAATTTGCCATTATCGTTTTTACTTCTCTTATAAAAACTGTGTTCATGAAACATTAAAACAATATTCGTCATCGTCAGCGCGCATATTCGTCAGGAACTGATTACCAGAGGGTCCGCGGCATTATCGTCGGCGCAGGGGGTGTATTTATCTAATATCCTAAGCGGAACCAGGCGCCCCATTAAGGGATATTTTGATTGACGTGCTCGCCCCTGAGATTTTGCGACGTTAGGGTGCTTTAGGGTTGTCAATTGTGACATATACCTAGTTTCTCATCAACAAGTTAAAAAAAATTATAAAAGAAAATATTTACAAAACGGGTTATTATAATTATTATACATGCATAAAAAAACTCTTGGGAATAAGGTGACCGCTGCTATGCTGCTTCTATAATAATTCGTATAAAACTTGTAGGTCTAAAAAATAATCACGCCGGGTTTTTCTCAGGACAGAGGTATCTTCCGAACCAGCGGTAAATAAAAGAAATAACTTTCAATAAGTATTATGAAAGAATCTATCTCTACTGGGTGATTTGTTTACCATGTGGAAAAAAAATTGGGTTTAACAGGTGAACGGATTGAAAGCCTATGGCACTGATATTTTTCAATTTTTTTTACATTATCATATTATGAAATTGATTTCAAAACGATTAATCATTTTGTTCACTGTGCTTGCTTTGCGTGTG